AGCCAGGTGGGCTTTCTAAAGCTCCATGGGTGCCTGGTTTCCCCACAGAATGGGTCAGGCCAAGGACAGCCAGGAGGAGGAGGAAGGCCGCGTGGGAGCGCTGCCCCAAGACCCCAAATGACATACATTCCAGTCCTGTCCCTGGACGTGCGTGCGTGGAGGTCATGCAGCACGATGGGGGGAAGGGGCGGGAGAGGGGTGCAGTCCCTGGCCCCCTGCCCGTGGGAGCAGCTGTGGCATGAGGGCCTCTGGAGGCGCGGGATGAGGTGCTGCCAGGTGGCCCTGGGCGCATGCAGGGGCTCAGGAGGCAGCCTCGTCTTCCTGGACGCCGGGGAGCTCTGGGCTCTTGGCCCCTTCGCCACACCCTTCTTTCCTGTTCAGGGGACACCAGGGATAGAGGGACCTCTGGATCAGAAGATGGCCTCTGAATCCCATGGGCTCTCAAATCCCCCTTCACCGTCTCCCCCATGCTCGGCCTCCCTCTGGCCTCCCTCCATCACCGCAGCTGCTCCTGGCTAGTCGCCCTGCCCTGAGCCTCAGCCCACAACTCCTCAGTGGCTCCCCATTGCCCAGAGATGAAGTAAGTCTAAATCTTCCAGCACAGCCTCAGGAGCCTATCATGGTCTGAGCCAGCCAAATTCCCTACATCCTCTGACTGTCAGCCTGGCCAAGGGCCTTGTGTGTGTGTGCATGTGGTTTTGTTGTTTTGAGATGGGGTCTCACTCTGTGGCACAGGCTGGAGTGCAGTAGCACGATCTCAGCTCACTGCAACTTCCGCCTCCCAGGCTCAAGCAATTCTCCCACCTCAGCCTCCTGAGCAGCTAAAACTACAGGCATGCATCGCCATGCCCAGCTAATTTTCGTATTTTTTAATAGAGACAGGGTTTCACCAGATTGCTCAGGCTGGTCTCAAACTCCTGGGCTCAAGTGATCCACCCACCTGGGCCTCCTAACATGCTGGGATTATAGGTGTGACCGTGTCGGCCTGAGGGCCTTCTGTGTCCACCTCCGTCAACCCCAGCAGATCTGTGTAGACGGACCTTCATTTTGCATTTTTCTTTGCCTTGTTCACAGGACAGAGTCCATCTATCAGTCTTGGGATTCTGTTACATTTCAACAGATTTCTTTTGCTAATTTTCCTCCCATAATGTCTCTTTTTAAAATAACCAATAAATGGGTTTTGAGGTCTCTAAAAAGGACCAACTCCATTTAACTCTACCACAGAGTTTTTACAATTATCCCAAAGTATAAAAAACAGTCTATGGCCGGTGCAGTGGCTCACGCCTGCAATCCCAGCACTTTGGGAGGTTGAGACGGGTATATTGCCTGACATCAGGAGTTCGAGACCTGCCTGGACAACATGGTGAAACCCTGTCTCTACTAAAAATACAAAAATTAGCTGGCATGGTGGTGTGTGCCTGTAATCCCAGCTACTAGGGAGGCTGAGGGAGGAGAATCACTTGAACTCAGAAGGCAGAGGTTGCAGTGAGCCAAGATCGTGCCATTGCACTCCAGCTTGGGCAGCAAGAGTGAAACACTCTCAAAAACAAAAGAAAACACGTCTATCAAGGATAAATATTGGGACTGGATGATGAGGTAAAATCTGCTTTCAAAGTTAAACCTGGAGGCTGGGTGTGGTGGCTCATGCCTGTAATCCCAGCACTTTGGGAGGCTGAGGTGGGCAAATTGCTTGAGGCCAGGAGTTCAAGTGCAGCCTGGGTAACATGGCAAGACTCCATTTCTATTAAGAAAAAAAAAAAAAGCTCCACTCTTAATTAAACTTGGGTCACAGAGTATAGAATTTTATAGCTGGAAAGTATCTTGTCACTGTTTGCTAGATACAACCTAGGCACCAAATGTGTCTTTATCCTGTGTCTGGCTTCACCTGCCACTAGGGGGTGCTGGACCACAGGGTCTGAGTCAGAGGGACCAGGTCTCCAGGTTTGCTGGACACAGGCCTGATTCCACCTGTCCTGGCATAAGTATTATTACTTTTTGTTTTTCGAGACAGGGTCTGGCTCTGTCAACCAGGCTGGAACAGAGTGGTGCAATCTCAGCTCACTGCAACCTCCACCTTCCAGACTCAAGCAATCCTTCCACCTCAGCCTCCTGAGTAGGTAGGACTACCAGCGTGCACCATCACACCCAGCTAATTTTTCACTTTTTATTTTTAGATATGGGGTCTTGCTATGTTGCCCAGGCTGGTCACAAACTCTGGGCCTCAAGCAATCCTGCCTTGGCCTCCCAAAGTGCTGGGATTACAGGCATAAGCCACCGTGCTATCCTAATTATTAATGGCTTCCCCTTTGACTATCAAAAATGTCCCCATTTGGATGTCAAATTATATATGCTCTCCCAACCCCTGCCACTAAGCACAATCCCAGCATTAGGGGCCTATATTCCTAGATAAGCTCAGAGAATCCGCCCCCAACCCAACCACCTTACTCAGGAGTTATCGGAAAACTGCAGGTGGGACCTCCAGGCCCCACACCTCATGGAGGGCCTCTCCCTGGGTGCAAGCAACCTCCAGCAGAAGCAGATGCCAGACTGTCCACTACGAGGGGGCCCGACGCTTCTGAAGAGCCCACTTACAAGAGGGAGACCTCACGGGAAACAAACGTGATGGTCCCGGACAGGTCTGGAGACAGCGTTCCACTCGGGAAGCCAGGGTTCCCGGGCAGCGCAGGGACTCACCCCTCTGGGAAGTGCGCCTTCCACACAGAGCCAGCCAGCATGGGGCAAACGCCTCCAGCCAGCCCCTTCCCCGAAGCTTCTCTCCCCGGCCAGAGGAAGGCAGTGGTGGTCCCAGGGCCATGCTGTGGTTCAGAAACCCCTGGCAGGTTTCTCTCTGCAGGTTTCTGTACAAACTCCAGCAGGCCTTACTAGCATCCCAGACCAGCTTTTATTACAGTGGGCGAAGGTGGAACTGCTGAGGCCGAGGTGCACAGGTTTGGGGAGCTGCTTTTCTGACCCATCCTAGGAGGTGGTGAAGCCACAGGCATGGTCCACTGTGGGGAGCCCTCAGCAAATGGGGTTCCTCTCTTGTGGTCCATCAGCCAGCCTGTCCCTGCTTACTCACTGGACAAGCACTTACAAAGCACTGACGGGGCACGTAGCCCCAGTGATGGTGCAGGCAGCCTGGGTCACTCAGGACAGCAGCCAGCACTCCCCAGGGCCAGGCAGAGAGGCCAGCGCCCCTTCAACAGCCCGCCAGCTTCCTACTGGGAGCCCACATCAGCCTGTCTGCAAACCTCTGCCAGGCTGCCAAGTGCTGAGGGGGCCACAGATTTGAAGCCCCAGAGGGGCTGGACTCCGTGTGAATGTGTGACATCAAGGTGGATGGAAGAAGGGTCTTTCTGTCCGCAGAGGGGGAGCATGTGAGTGGGAGATGCTGGCCCCAGGAGTGCAGCAGGGGCTGGGCGCCGAAGGTCCCTTTAGCCCCGACTAACCTTGGGGACAGAGATGCAAATGGGGCCAACTCCAAGACCTGGCCACATCCCCAGGCTCTGGCCTCAGCCCAGTGAGAGCAGGAAGATGGGGCTCCGTCCTCCCCACCGCCCTCCAGGGAGCACCGGAGGCCTCGGCCCACCAGTACTTACAGCTGTAAGTTCCCTGGAGCAGACATGGAGCGCTCTTCTCTCCGCGCTTGGGGTTCAAAAGGGTTCCCAAAGGAACGCTTCCTCAGCATGGACTTCACCAGGATCTGAGGAGGACACGGCGGCATGACAGCACAGGCCCTGGCTCCCTGACACATAGCTCCGCTGATTCCTGCCCCCATTTCAGTCAGCAGAGCACGGAATGGCAGGGGCGAGGGCACAGAGGGCCGGTAGCTGATGGCCAGTTCCTGGGATGGCAGGGGCTGCTGCTGCATGAGCGGGGGCCGAGGCCAGTCCACGAAGGGTCAGCAGGCCAGGCTGAGGGTGGGGCGGCCAAGGCTGGAAGTGGGAGTCCATTGGAAAATTCCTTCTCGCTATGGTGCCAAGGTGTACGGAGAGGCTGTGCCATCCTTCCTGCTTTCCCACCACAGAGGATGCGACCGCGGGCCGGGAAGCAGCTGAGCTGCATGATGGCCGAGCCCGTGGGGATGTCGCGAGGGGAGCACCACCACAGCCTGGCTCTCTGCCTCTATCCCTTCTCCGTAACAAGGACGGTTCCATGCCCTGCCCACAGACACGCTGACTCACACCCAAGCAGAGCCAGCGGCACACTGGCCAGTCCTACCCTCACTCACATGTCTGCATCCATCCTGGCAACACGGGTCACCACTGGCTGCCTACCGCATGCTGGACACTAGGCTAGGCATTGGGGCCACACGGAGGCCAAACGTCTAGCCCTCATGTAGCTTGCTTTCTTTCTTTTTTTTAGACAGAGTCTGGCTCTGTCTCCAGGCTGCAATGCAGTGGCTCGATCTTGGCTCACTGCAACCTCCACCTCCTGGGTTCAGGCGATTCTCCTGCCTCAGCCTCCTGGGTAGCTGGGACTACAGGTGCACGCCACGACACCTGGCTAATTTTTTTTTTTTAGTAGAGACGGGGTTTCACCTTGTTGTTCAAGGTCAGGACGGTCTCAATCTCCTGACCTTGTGATCTCCCACTTTGGCCTCCCAAAGTGCTGGGATTACAGGCGTGAGCCACTGCACCTGGCCATAGCTTTTTTTGTGTGTGTAAAGGAGTTTCGCTCTGTTGCCCAGGCTGGAGTGCAGTGGTGCACTCTCAGCTCACTGCAACCTCTGCCTCTCAGGTTCAAAGGATCCTTCTGCCTCAGCCTCCTGAGTAGCTGAGATTACAGGAGCCCATCACCACATCAGGCTAATTTTTTGTATTTTTAGTAGATACAGAGTTTCACCATGTTGGCCAGGCTGGTCTGAAACTCCTGACCTCAGGTGATCTGCCTGCCTTGGCCTCCCAAAGTGCTGGGATTACAGGCATGAGCCAGCGCGCCTGGCCATCGTATAGCTTATATTCTAGTTGGGAGGACAGGCAAAAAGAAAAGACGACAAATCAGTAAAATATGTATGTTAGCAAGTGGAAAGAAAAAAATAAAACCAGGGAATGGTGATGAAGTGACACAGGGAAGGAAGCTACAGGGTCAGGAAGGCTCGCTTCTCTCTCAAAGCTGAAGGAAGAGGGGCAGCACGTCCTGGGGGCGACTGGAGTGGCACTCCTCAGGCAGAGGGAAGTGAAAGCTGACGGCTCTCAGCAGCCCCTTCCGTGGCACATGGCCAGAGCTGAGTGCATGATGGGGGACAGTGGAAGAGCCCCGCAGAAAAACAGGGTCGGGGAGGGCAGGCTGGGGGTCTGACTCTGAGGGACACAAGAGCCCGAGTGAGAAGCAGGCTCTGAGCTGAGAGGTGACACTCATGCCACCAGGACCATGCTGGCTGCTGAGTTGAGCATTAACGGGGGTACAGGGGTGAAAGCAAAAGCAGAAGACAATATGAGAGGCTCTTCCCATGTCTGGGGGAAAGGCGATGCTGGCTAAGACCAGGGACGTGGCCATGGGGACCCTGTGGGAGCTGCCTGGCTCCAGGGACCCCACAGAGCCAAGTAAGCATACGGGGCAGAGATTCAGCCAGCTGGTCCTAGCTGGGCCAGGACCCTGCAGGGGGGGTGATGGGTGTGGGGATAAAGCCCCCACCCACAGCAACAGCTTCCCTGGCCCTCGTTACTGGCCTTGTGCTTGCCCTGACTCACTCTCATGCAGGTGCAGGGCAGGACTCTCAGTGGCCCTGACATTCACCAGGGACAACATGAATCACTTCCAAGTGCCAACACGGAAGCTGAGCAGAGGAAGAGGAGCAAAGCTGAAACAGGAGCGTGCATGAAGGCTGCTCTAACTGACTCGAGGGCTCTGGGGTGGATGCAGGCGCCATCTAACTTACACGCAGGCTGTGGGGAGGATGCAGGCTCTCTGACACGCAGGCTCTGAGGGAGATGCAGGCACTGCCTAACTGACACACGGGCCCTGGGGGGATGCAGGCTCTGACACACAGGCTCTGCAGGAAATGCAGGTGCCATTTAACTGACATGCAGGCTCTGAGGGAGATGCAGGCGCTGCCTAACTGACACATGGGCTCTGGGGGGATGCAGGCTCTGACACATAGGCTCTGCAGGAGATGCAGGCACCGTCTAACCGACACTCAGGCTCTGGGGGGATGCAGGCTTCATCTGACACCAGGCTCTGGGGGGATGCAGGCTCCGTCTGATGCTTGGGCTCTAGTGGGGATTCAGGCTCTGTCTAACTGACATACGGGCTCTGTAGGAGATGCAAGCTCCATCTAACTAACACTCAGGCTCTGGGGGGGATACAGTTTCCATCTAATTGACACTTGTGCTCTGGGCGGGGAAGCAGGCTCTGTCTAACTGACACATAGGCTCTGGGGGGATGCAGCCTCCGTCTAACTGACGTGAAGGCTCTGCAGGAGATGCATGTGCCATCTAACTGACACTCAGGCTCTTGCGGGGGATGCAGGCTGTCTAACTGACACCGGTTCTGCAGCAGATGCAGGCACTGCCTAATTGACACACGGGCTCTGTGGGGATGCAGGCTCTGACACACAGGCTCTGCAGGAGATGCAGGCGCCGTCTAACTGACACTTAGGCTCTGGGGGAATGCAAGCTCTGTCTAACTGACACTCAGGCCCTTAGGAAGATGCAGGCTCTGTCTGACATGTGGGCTTTGTGGGAGATGCAGGGGCTGTCTAACTGACACTCAGACTCTGCGGGATGCAAGATCTAACTGACACGCAGGCTCTGCAGGAGATGCAAGCTCCATCTGACACTGGGGCTCTTCGGGGACACAGGCTCCCTCTAACTGACACTTGGGCTCTGGGGGGATGCAGCCTCTGTCTAACTGACATTCGGGCTCTGCAGGAGATGCAGGCTCCATCTAACTAACACTTGGGCTCTGGGGGGATGCAGGCTCCATCTAATTGACACTTGTGCTCTGGGGGGGATGCAGGCTCTGTCTAACTGACACACAGGCTCTAGGGGGGATGCAGGCTCTTTCAAACTGACACGAAGGCTCTTCAGAAGATGCATGTGCCGTCTAACTGACACTCAGGCTCTTGGGGGGGATGCAGGCTCTGTCTAACTGACACTTGGGCTCCAATCCAAAGGCTGCCCAGGCCGTTCCCCTGCCGTGTCCTCAGCACCTGGTGCAGTACATGGAGAACGGGGTTCAGTAACTGTCTGGAAGGAAGGAAACGCTTTATCCAGTCATGGTGACTGTTGCCGCTCAGCAAGGGCTGATTACCTCTTTTTCTTTTTCTTTTTTTTGAGATGGAGTCTCTTTCTGTTGCCCAGGCTGGAGTGCAGTGGCGTGATCTTAGCTCACTGCAACCTCCGCCTCCCGAGTTCAAGTGGTTCTCCTGCCTCAGCCTCCTGAGCAGCTTGGATTACAGGTGCATGCCACCACACCCAGCTAATTTTTTTGTATTTTTAGTAGAGATGGATTTTCATCATGTTGGCCAGGGTGGCCTCAAACTCCTGACCTCAGGTGATCCCAAAGTGCTGGGATTACAGGTGTGAGTCACTCTCCTCACCAAGCCCCCTGGTTTCCCTACCACAAGACCTCCTCCTCCATGGGCCTCCAGCAGAATGGCATTTCCAGTGGCCCAGATCACAGCTGGCTGGCCAGGCAGGCCTCTGTGCCCCCACAGGACCAGGCATATAGCAAGGCTCAGGCCCCCGAGGCCTTCAAGGACAAGGGAGCATCTACGTAGCCCTCTTACCACCGTGGTCCAGCTGGGGATGAGCCTGACGGAGTTCTTCACCTCCTCCTCCGTCACCTCCACCACGCTGCAGTGCTCCTCCTCTGAGGGCAGCGGCTCTTCCCCGTTCTTGGTCACCCAAGGGTGCAACTGTAGGGGCGAGAGGGCAGGGAGAGGGGAGAGGTCAGGCCATAGGCAGACATTCAATCAGCAAAGGACTCCAGGCCTTTTACCAGTATCCCCTGGAGGGGTGCAAAGTCCACAGACCCAAACCCCACCCACATGCACCCTGGTGTAGAGCTCTCCAGAAGGGGAAACTGACGCCTGCTTTCTGTGTCCCAGCCCTGCCCAGGACCTCCAAGTCCCCGACCTTGATGTCCGACACCCCAATTCTCGTCTCGGGATTCTTGTCCAGCATCTTCAGGATTAGATCCTTGAGATCCTCGCTGATCTTGGGCCTGGAGAAGGCAGAGGAAGGAGAGGGTAGGCACGCTGATGGGGACCCTTCCTGTCCGCCTCTCCTCCCAGAAGACTGAGTTCATATGACAAGTGCTTGGAAAGCCTTTCCTGAGCAGGAGGAAACATCTCCCTTCAGGACAGAGGCACAAACAGACTTCCATGCGCGCTAGACACCCCGCTGGGTGGCAAAATGGTGAGGAGAGTCACTTCATGGGACCTCAGGGCTTTCGGTTCCACTTGCCACCTCATCCTTTTCTACACCCAGGGAAGATCCTCTCTCACTTCAGAGGAGGAAGCAGAGGCCCACAGAGGTTAGCAGGCTGGCACAATGCCACCCAGAAGAGGGTAGGCAGAGATGGGAGACTCGGGGGGGGGAGCAGCCCCCTCAGTCCGAACTCTCTCTGCCCAGACCCCAGGCTTCTTTGCCACCAATGGTCTTGGGAAGCCCATCCTTCCAGGTCTGGGGAGCAGAAGCCACTCTTGGTACTGTTGACTTCGGTTCCTCCTATTGTCTTAAATGCTTCACCCCTTTTAAAATTCCTGGGCTGGGGAGAAAGACATCCCTGGCAGGGGGCAAAGAAGGAGGAGAGGTACCAGGGGTACCACTGTGGTCAGCAGGGAAGCCAATCAAAGAATGAGGAGGAAACGGACAGAAGCCGGCTGGCTGGTGCTTGGGAAAGGGAGTGACAACCCAGATAAGCAGGTAGCAGAATCCAAAATGCTTGAACGCCAGGGCCAGGGTATGGCCTCCATCCTGCAGGCTTGGAGAAGCCTCAGACAAACTTCAGGCAGGAGATGCAGGTAGGTGTACAGGCAGGAGATGCGGGCAGGTGTGCGGGCAGGAGATGCAGGCAGGTGTGAGGACAGGTGTGAGTGCAGGTGTGCAGGCAGGAGATGCAGGCAGATGTGAGGGCAGGAGATGCAGGCAGGTGTGCTGGCAGGAGATTCGGGCAGGCGTGAGGGCAGGAGATACGGGCAGGAGACGCAGGCAGGTATGAGGGCAGGAGATGTGGGCAGGTGTGCAGGCAGGTTTTCGGGCAGGAGATGCAGGCAGGTGTGCGGGCAGGAGATGTGGGCAGGTGTGCGGGCAGGAGATGCGGGCAGGTGCATTGCACCTTGTGTACCAGGGCTGCCCCCACCTGACTGTGTTGGTTGGACTGGAGGGAGGCCAGCAGCAGGGAGACCAGGGTGGGGGGTGGTGAGACAAGTCTGGGAGGAGCCTAAGCCCTGAATGAGGCATGGGGTGCAGGTGGCAACAGAGCCCAGCGACAGGGAAGAGGAGGACTCGAGGAGGCCTGGGAACCACACAGGAAAGGAGTAGGCATCACTGAGGACAAGGTCCATTCAGTTTCCTTATTTTTTGTGAAACAGAGTCTCACTATGTCTCCCAGCCTGGAGTGCAGTGGTGCAATCACAGCTCACTGCAACCTCTGCCTCCCAGGTTCAAGTAATTCTCGTGCCTCAGCCTCCTGAATAACTGGGACTACAGACACACACCACCACGCCGTCTAATTTTTGTATTCTTAATAGAGACAGGGTTTTGCCATGTTGGCCAGGCTGGTCTCGAACTCCTGACCTCAGGTGATCCACCCACCTCGGCCTCCCAAAGTGCTGGGATTACAGGCGTGAGCTACCGCGCCTGGCCTCCATTTCACTCCTGAAATGCACTCCTGAAGAGGGGACAGGGAGCTCAGGCTCCTACATCAGGAGGTGAACCACGCAGGAGCAGGAGGCCTCCCAGACTGCCTGCCGGGCTAGAGACCTCAGTCACAATGGAGGAGTGGTGAGGAAGGTGGTTTGAGTCCCAGTCCCTGACAGCTCTCCTCCAGAGCATCCTCTTTTCTATCTGTGAAATGGGGGGTGCGCTAGCATCCCGAAGCTCCCTGACCCTGAGTGGGAGAAGGAGAAGTTTCCCTGGAGTACAGGGGCAGGGTGGGTGGTGCCACTGACCCCGGGCAGGCCTGCGATGAAGGAGTGGTGGGAGCGATGCCTGCAATCATCCCCGGCCAACGCTGGAACTCAGGGCTCCCATCCATACAGTGGTGTCTCGGAGACCCTTGGCTCCAGAGTCCCACCCCTCCATCTTCTCAGGGGTCCCTCCCAGGGAACCACATCGCCACCTTCATATCTGAGGCTGGGGTCCTCAAAGGGCAAAAGCTGCGCTAAAACCCAGACACCAGGGGTAGGTGGTAGCTCCTTGGTCCCCTGGGTGGAAAACTCACTCCTCCGGAAACACCACAGGCTCATTCTTGATCTTCCTGTGGAGTGCCAGGATGTAATCGTCGATGAATGGGCACTGCGGGGTGGAGAGGCAGACAAAGGAGGTGGGCCCGGGGCCTTGACAAATGCCAGGGGACCAGCCCCCACCCCTTGGTGAGGCCAGGGCAGGGGCAGTTCTGGGCTCCCAATTACATGAGAAGGACCTCAATTCATTTGCTCAGGGCCTGGCACACTGCAAATGTGCCACAAATGTTGACTGAATGAATGAGTCACTGGGGAAATGATGAGGCTGGGTGCATCCACCACCATGACAGCCACCTGCAGCCAGACCTCTGCTCCCAGGGCCACTGAAATTCCCTCCTGCTCCTTGGTGCGGTCACCAGAGCATGAGCACCTGTGAGCCGGGATCTCGGTCACGCCAGCGCTGGGTGTCCCCAGGGTTCCGCCTCAGCCAGGGTAGGAGTGAAGGACAATTGGTTGAATGAATGAGCAACAGAGGGAATGCGTGGCTCAATGAATGAATGGCATCAAGGGACAGAGGGACGGGAGCACTCTGGCTGGGGAGGTGGCAACACCATCAACACCTCCCCTTGGGTGCCTGCCGTCCTTGGGACTCCTTCCCTTGAATCCCTCCGCAGGGGATGGGAGAAAGACAGAAAAAGCCTCTTCTCTCTCAGGCTTCTCTGGGCCAGGTGGGCCCTTTCAAAAGCCACTTTGCTTAAGGATGGAAAGGAAGGGCCTGCGTCCATCACCCATGCCCGCCTCACTGCACCTGCCCCAGCTCTGCTGGCATCCCCTGCACTCACCTTCCCATAGACAAAGCAGTACAACGTGACACCGGTGGCCCACACGTCCAAGGCCTGGAAAGAAATGCTCACATCAGTCCCCAACAGGCACTGCTGCCTCTGCCCACCCAGCTCCAGTGGGCTGTAGGAGAGGCCTGCAGGGAACCTCTTTCCTCCGTCATGCATTCACTCAACAAACACACCCCGGTACCTCCTCGACACTGGGCGATGTGCTGAGTGCTGAGGATACAGGGCCAGCCAGAACAGGGCCTCCACCCTCCAGGAGTTCTGAGTCTCCTTGAGACAGGCTCAACCAGGAACATTTCCAAACCAACAGGTACAAAACCTGCTTCATCCACAGGGTCGCAGGTACTGCTCCCATGTCACGCGCCACCCCAGGAATGACGGTATATATGAAACTTCTGCTCAATAAACCAGCTCAGGCTTGTAGGAGTCACCCCTTCTCCTAACAATCCATCTTCTTCCTGATATTTCGAGCAGCCCCTGTCCACACAGAGGCCCTGCCCACTCACTCCCTCGCCCACGGCCACTGCGACAACTCCTCCCGGCTCCCAAGCACCCCTGGGCTTCCCCACGGCCTGGATTCCAACGTGCGCTCTCTCTACCTTCTCCTGCTCTGGGACATCACCTCTTTTGGTATCCACTTTCTCGCTTACGTGAGTGATTCACAAATCTCTACCGACATATTCCTGCCCCAGATGCATCATCTGAATCCAATCAGGGAACACCAGACAAACGCAACCTGACAACATTCTACAAACTAACAGGCTTGTTCTCTTCAAATGGCAAGGTCAGGAGAGGCAAAGGAAGGCCAAGTCGCTCTTCCAGATCAAAGGGCACCAAGGACAGGAAAGAGAACGGAGCAAGTGGCCCTGGATTGGTCCCTGGACCCAAGAAAGAAAAATTTCCAAAGGACAGTAACAGGACAACAGAGAGCATTTAAATAAGGCCTGTGGATTATATATGTATTTTTTTTTCCAGACGGAGTCTCATTTTGTTGCCCAGGCTGGACAGCAATGGCATAATCTCAGCTCACTGCAATCTCCGCCTCCTGGGTTCAAGCAATTCTCCTGTCTCAGCCTCCCTAGTAGCTGGGACTACAGGCCTGTGCTGCCATGCTCGGCTATTTTTTTTTTTTTTTTTTTTGTATTTTTAGTAGAGATGGGTTTCACCATATTGGCCCGGCTGGTCTGGAATTCCTGACCTTGTGATCCACCCGCCTCGGCCTCCCAAAGTGCTGGGATTACAGGCATGAGCCACCGCGCCTGGCCAATTTTTGTATTTTTTAGTAGAAACAGGGTTTTGCCATGTTGGCCAGGCTGGTCTTGAACTCCTGACTTCAGGTGATCCACTGGCTTTGGCCTCCCAAAGGGCTGGGATTACAGGTGTTAGCCACCATGCCTGGCCTATATTTAAATCTTATCAATGATGAATTTCCTAATTTTAATCACTGTACTGAGGTTATGTAAGAGAATGTCCCTGTTCTTAGGAAATACCCACTGAAGTGTTTAGTGATAAAGGGGCGTAACACCCTCCACATAACTTTCAAATGGCTCAGAAAGGTGTAGTATGAGTACAGATAAACAGAAAAAGATGGCAAGAGAGAAAACGGGACAAAAGGTCAACCATTGGTGAATCTGGGTAAAAAGATATATGGGGTTTCTTTGTTCTGTTCTTCCAGCTTTTCTATAAATGTAGAATTTATCAAAATAAAACATTTCAAAAAGTCTTTATCAACATCCCCAACCTCTTTTTTTCTTTCATTTTTAGAGACAAGGTCTCACTCAGTCACTCAGGCTGGTGTGCAGTGGCGCAATCACAGCTCACTGTAGCCCCCAGCTCCTGGACACGAGTGGTCCTCCCACCTCCACCTCCCAAGTAACTGGGACTACAGGCGTGCAGCACCACACCTGGCTAGTTTTCTCACTTTTTATAGAAATAAGGTCTTGCTATGTTGTCCAGGCTTATCTCAAATTCCCAGCCTTAAGAGCCCCACCTTTGCCTCCGAAAGCACTGCGATTACAGGCATGAGCCACTGTGCACGGCCTCCTGAGCTCTTTCCTGGATACTCAACACGTGTCCAAATGCCACTCAGCCACAGCCTCCCTGGTGGCAGGGTGGTTGGCATCCCACAGGTAAAAACAGTCATGTGCCCAGGGAATTATGCCAGACTGTGTAACCTCTTGTTCAGACAACTCTGCCTATGTTTATGTTGCTTAGGAGAAAGCCCAGACTGCCAGGCCCTCTACCCTCTGCCCCATCTCGTGCCCCTCTGTTCTCTTGTTTATTCTCTGGGTACCAGGTCCTTCTCAGATCCTCCCCATTCTTCAAGGGCCAGTTCAAACCCTGCCATGTCCAAGATCTGTGGGGGGCCTCCAACTTCCCTCTAAACTAACCAGAGGGCAGGAAACAGGCTTCTCTTTGGCTCTGCCTGTTCCGCAGCCCGGTCCAGAACCCAGCACAGAGAAACCAACAGGAAATATCTGCAAGGGAGATTTGGGGCCACTTTGCTGGAAAACAGGAGAAGGCCAAAGGCGAGGAGTTTATCAGGCTCCAAGAAGAGGCAACTGTGTCACTCCCTAGACACAAGGACCCTGGCACCCTCTGGTGGGAAATGGGGTCCCTGCAGCAAGCTACTATGCCCCCCCACCCTGAACCCCAGCCTGGCCCGGGGCCTGAGAGTCACCTTCCCACTGAAGCTCTGGCCGGAGTCAGAAATGGCCTCGGGGGCCATGAAGGCCGGCGTCCCGGCCGTGCTGGACAGCTGAGCGTCATTCCCCTCAAACTGGTTGCTGACACCGAAGTCAGCGATCTTCACGTGCCCATCGTCCCCCAGGAGCAGGTTGGATGGCTTGATGTCCCTGTGGACGATCTTCTGGCAGTGCACTGCAGAGAAAGGGAGCTTGATCCGCGTACTGGCCTGGGCACTGCTGTCCGGGAGCCCACGCCTGTCCTCGCCCAGCCAGGGACACCCCAGCCTATGCATGCTTTCGTCTTGGTGACAAAATGGGAAGAGGACGTCAGGGCCATCCGCTCCATGCAGGTGAGGACACTGAGCCCAGGCTGTGAGCAGCAGAGCCAGGACTGGAACCTTAGGAGTCTGGACTCCTCCCTGCCCTCTCCATGAAAAACGAGGTACCTGTTGCTGAATGGGCAGGTCACAGGAAACTAGGGCAGAAGACTTTTTTTTTTTTTTTTTTTTGAGACAGAGTCTCCCTCTATTGCCCAGGCTGAAGGACAATGGTGCCATCCCGGCTCACTGCAACCTCCCCCTCCCAGGATCAAGCGATTCTCCTGCCTCAGCCTCCCAAGTAGCTGGGATTACAGGCATAAGCCACCATGTCTGGATAATTTTTGTATTTTTAGTAGAGATGGGGTTTCACCATGTTGGCCAAGCTGGTCTGGAACTCCTGACCTCAGGTGATCCACCCACCTTAGCTTCCCAAAGTGCTGGGATTCCAGGCGTGAGCCACTGTGCCAGGCTGGGAGGAGCCTTCTTCCTAGCCCAGCTCTGCCCCTTCCCTGTGACTGCTGTCTGCAGGCCCAAAGCCCACCGAAACCTTTCTCCAGTTCCATCCCCACCCAGTCGAGTCAATGATGTCCCTGGCTGCTGGGGCTGAGAGTAAGATTGTAGGGACTGTGCTATCCTACAGAGGTACGATCTCAGCCCTCAGGATCGGGGCTGACAGGGTTTCAGAGACGCTGGCATCCCAGGCCTTGAGGCTAGCAGATGGCACAGCTGGGGTATAAGGCCAGCTATGTCTAGCAGGATGAAGCTAGAATCAGAAATGACTCAGTAGGTGGAAGCTTGCCCCGCTTCCTGGGTCAAGCACCATCAGGAAGTCACGAGTGGCTCAGGCTGAGATGGCCAGAAAGGTCCCAGCCAAGAGAGACACTGACCCCATCCCATGACCATATACTTGTAGGCTCCCTCCTTGGCAAATACCTTCCCTTACTCTGGACCAATGGATCCCAGGATGCTGGAGAGAAGGGAAGAGAGGAGGAGAGAGAAGACAGGGAAAGGGAGGGAGGCTGGGGGCAGAGAGGGCGGGTGCCATAAAACAATAACCACAAAGCCAGTGGCACTTTCTTGATGGCCTACTATGTGCCAGGCACACACAAGGAATCCGACACACACCCATCAGGGCACAGCAGCTCAGGGGGCTGGATGTTTGGCCATGGATCTCATGCCCTTATCTCAAACCCCAGCCTCTCCCTTGAACTCCAGGCTCTCTACCCACATGGATTTCCAGTAGACATCTCGTTAGATAGCTGGGCAGCTAGGCATCAACATCTGTCCCTATGCATCTGACTGTAGTCAGTAATATGTCTAATTCAGAACTTGATTACTCTGCCTACAACTCCCGCCACCCACAAAAGAAAACAACAAAACAAAAAGCCCTGCTGCTCCCCAGTCCTTCTCACTCTGTGAAAAGCCAAAACCCTCAGGATCATCCTCAGCTCCTCCTCTGAGACCCCACTCCCCACTCATGGGCGAGGTCTGTGAGCCCAGCCTCTCACATCTATCCCAGATCCAACTGCTTCTCATCACCTGCGTCGCCGCCCCTACCCGCATCAAATGAGAGCCAGGTCTGGGCCTCCCTGACCCCCGGGCCCTCTCAGGGCAGCCTCCACTCTCCCTTCTTGGGACCAGAAGAACAAGGCAGGTCTCCAGCGCCCTGTGCCTCTGTTCATCCACCTGTCAGTCCCTGGCACTAACCACGCTGCTCCAGGAAAGCCCTTCACTGTGATGAGCTGGGTCCTGATGAGGCTTTACCCAAGAACCAGGGAAGATAAACTGGTTTCTTTGTGGCGGCTAGGGGACAGCAGACCACAGGACTTCAGCTGGAAAGAAGGGCCTAGAACTGGAAGTGGTGGAGCCAAGCCGGTACAGGACTGTGCCTGTTGCTGACCATAACAGGAGTAAAATGTCCCCTTCCTATCCCATGCCTCTAAGACCTTGGTACAGGCTTTTTGCAAAACCCTCACTTGTGTGCCTCAGTTTCCCCATATGAGCAAAAGGAATCTAAATCTGAGGGCACAGGAGAGGCCTGAGCAGGATAAAGGCAGTCCTGTTTCTGTCACTGCAGGTCAAACCTCAGCCAGATCCCCACCCTGTTCCCCCAGGGAAAAAACATGTTCCCCAGAAACCAAGCTAAATTTTATTTTATATTTTTTAATTAATTAGTTAATTAATTTGGAGATGGAGTTTCACTCTTGTCGCCCAGGTTGGAGTGCAGTAATGCGATCTCAGTTCACAGCAACCTCCACCTTCCAGGTCTGAGCGATTCTCCTGCCCCAGCCTCCCGAGTACCTGGGATTACAGGCCCCTGCCACCACGCCTGGCTAATTTTTGTATTTTTAGTAGAGACAGGGTTTGGGTTTTCACCATGTTAGCCAGGCCGGTCTCAAACCCCTGACCTCAGGTGATCCACCCGCCTTGGCCTCCCAAAGTGCTGGGATTACAGGCATCAGCCACTGCGCCCGGCCTAGCTAAGATTTTAGAGACAGGCATCTCCCTTGGTCCCCAACCCAGGCCAGGACCCTAGGTGTCCGGGGGCTCCCCCTCTCCAGACCGACCAGTTACCCCATGCTGACCACCTTACCTCCTTCCTGTCCCCAACCCGCTGCCACTGCCCTAATCCAGGCTTCACCATCTGTCACTTGGGCTGCAGAAACAGCCTCCTCCCTGGCCAGCTGGCTGCCTGTCACCTTCCGATGACACCCTCCAATCCAGCCACCACACAGCTGCCAGACAGGGCTTTCTCAGGCGCAAATCCCATCACGCTCCTCCCCTGCTCAAAGCTCTCCTGGCCTCACAGCGCTGGCAGGATGAAGTCATGAGAGACCTCGGGGAGGCTCCCCAGCCTTCAGGCTGCAGCCTGGAATGGATTTCCAGCACCATCTTTCACTAACCACAGCCATACTCTGCCCGCTGGAGGCTTCACCCAGACTGAACTTCTCCCCAGACTCCAAGAGTTTGAGCCTATGCCTGGCGCACTGTCTCCTACTCGCACCCCTCCAAACCTGAGCAGGGAACTCTACTCGTCCCTCAGGACCCTCATCCTAAGTAGCCTCTTCCAGGGAGCCTTCCCCAACCCCCGGCACTCCAACAACCTGCAGGCGCCACTGTATTATCTGCCTGCCTAGATTCCTGTCCCTCCCACTAGGCTGTGAGGTCCAGTCTATGCTCCCAGCTGAGTGAATGCAGCAAATGAGTGAAATGAGACAGAGGCTAAGCTCACATCACCCTCCTGAGCTCTCATCAGCCTAGGGCCCCTGATGGTTAAACCCGCCCTGCCACCGTACCCTGGCCCCTGGCCAGGACAGACTCTCCCCCAGAAGCTGGACATAAATCCCTTCCTTCCCATATCGCTTGAGGCCCCGTGGCAACACTAACTAAGCTAGGCTAAGAACTCAGCAGAAGAAAGATACAGACAGAACACCCAGAGCTCAGACCGACAGGACCAGACCCTGCGATGGATCTGGCGCATGTCCGGTGAAGTCCACCACCCCCATCTTCCCCCTCCGCCTCCACCCTCCTCCTCCGTCTCCAGCTTCCCAATGGAGGACTTTGGCCCCGCCCACACATGCATGCCCCCCCCCCCCCCCACTGAAGCTGATTGGCAGACCAGCTCTGACTGACAGGAGCGGCTCAGCACCTGCTCAGCCCGGGCTCTGCTGCCTCCTAGATCCCCTAGCCTGAGCCCCGGCCGGGGCAGGTAGCCCCGCACTCACAGTACTCGAGGCCCAGGATGACGTCCCGCAGGTAGAGGCGAGACTGCTCCTCCGAGAAGGGCTTGTTGCAGGGCACTTCCATGACGGGCCTGTGGAGAAGGATGTGGGGAGGGGCATTCAGCCGGAATCAGGGGACCCTACCATTCTGGTGGTCACGACATCCTGGGAAACCTGTGCTCACATGGGTTCCTACAACCCAAGATAGAACCTTTTCCTCCTACATAATAAAACATTTAAAGCACACGTACTCATACATATCCTGTTTCAATCATAATTTCAAATAGGCTTTATCTTAATTTCTGACTGGCTTGATATTCCTTCTTCTAAGTACTTAACTGTCTGTAATCAAACAATTGCAAAGACCCCATTTAGAGCACTGTGTTTCAAACTGTGGATCCCAACCCATCAGAGGATTGTGAAATCAATTTAATGGGTGGCAACAGCTTTTTTTTCCTAAAGAAATAGAGTATGTCAGAATATATCACATGTAGTAAAGATACACGTTGTTTTGTAAAACTTTGGTTTCAGTTACAGATGTGGACAGCAGTATAAATACACATTTCTTGTTTTGGATAGAGGTCAAAACATTGGAAAGCCTCCAAGTCTTAAAGGGACACCACTCCCTGCCCCTCTCCCCAAATCGGCCTGTGGGAAGCTGCCAGGCAGAGCGCCAAGCCGCAGCCTGCATTCAGGCCTTGGCAGTGAGGATCCTGGTCCACTCAGCCCCAAGCTCACTACTCCATGTCATCTGCTCTGTAAATACCCTGGAAAGCCACACAGTGCAGACATGTGGAACCCTAGGCTCCGTCCGTGACTTGCTGTGTGACTGTGAGCAAGCCACGTACCTTCTCTGGTCCTCAGCTTTCCCTCTCATAAATGGGAGTAAATGGAATCCCACCCACTCCATTCACAGGCTTGTGCAAAGCTGAAAAACCCTTTGTGATCTGAATACAGGTAAGAGTTGAGTCTCACCTCTCTACTTTTACTTAAAAACCATGCCTTTCTTCCCCTCTCCTCTCTCCATATCTTCCCAGTTCTTCAAGGCCTGGGTCAAAAACTCATCCTCTCTTCCAGAGGCCTCCCTGACTATTTCAGCCTCACTGACTCCCACCTTCTTGCTCTCTTATTTACCCCCAAGGGCAGGGCCTCCGTCTCTGATTTCTCCTGGGGTAGCTGACCCTTGGGCTGGGGACACAGGGAGGAAAAGGAAGGAAGGCCTGGATGAGAATTGACCTGCCTGATCAGGACGGGGAACTCACCCCTTTCTCAGGAGGTCAAACACTGAAAGAAAAGACAAGAAGGTAAGGTGTAGCTGGCTGGCAAAGCAGCCGACGCCAAGGTCCCTCCCTGTTCTGGAGGGTAGGAGGGGCAGGCACGCAGGCAGGCTTGAGGCAGGGACTCAACCGGATCCCGGGATATCAGAGCAAATAAACAGACGAGAGCAGGGCCTACTATGGACCTGCCTCATCTGATCGCCAGGTGCCAGGAGGGAGCTGGCAGCAGAAGCACAGGCCCTTTTACAGAAGGGGAAACTGAGGCACAGAGAAGGGGCAGAAGTTTTCCTAAAGGTCATAGGAGATAGGCAGGCAGGGTAGAGAGAGGAGACTAAAGCCTTGGCCTCTTTCCTAAGCCAGTTCTTCTTCTGCCCCGTTTTCTGAGGCCTCCTCTAAGCCCAGCCCCAAAGCAGATGCAAGGAACTAAAATAATAACATCACTCTTAACAAGGCAAATAATGAATGTGCTTTACATATCATTACTCATAGACTCCTCACATCAACACTATGAAGTAGATACCATTGGTAGTCGTTTTACAAGTGAGGAAACTGAGGCATGGAGCTACAGCATCTGGGAACCCGTGCAGCCTGCCTCCTGCCTCTACCTGAGTGCAGAGCCCAAATGCATCTCCTGTCTTGCTGCTCAGAAGGACACAGGGAGTGAGGCTTGGGAATATCTGGTGCGTCTAACTGGGTATTCTGGGCCTGGTTCTGCAGGGCCGGGCAAGGGACACTGGGGCTTCAGAACAAGTATTTCTCTTCTGTTCCCAGGAGGTCAGTGCCTTCACGCCGCCCACCCGAAGCTCATGCATGTCCCAAGGGAGCCCTCGGACCAGCCCAGGGTGAGCTGCTGTGGGAACAAGCTGGGTTACTCACCCAAATAGAGATTGTCCTCAGCTGGGTCATCCAGGACCTGGTCAGAGGGAGCAGACATGGCGAGGGGGCTTGAGGAGGCATGGGGTTGGGGTCCCAGGCCAGCCCCAGAACCCTCAGTATCCACTGCAACCCCCCAGACGATGGAGCAGGAGTATACAGGTGCCAGATGATGGAGCCTCAGAAATCACTGGCCCCCAGCCTGGCATCCAGCCCTTCTCCCCTCTTGCTGCATCGAGGGGCTCACTTCTTGCCTCTGGGGCAGCCCCTCACCCTCTGTGGGAACTGGGGAACACCCCTGACCAGGCTGGACCCCCAAAGCCTCCCTGCAGCCCCACCCCAAGTCTGGCCCTGTCCTCAGAAGCCTCAGCCACATCTGCTCCTTTGGCAAGACCCCTGGGTCTATGGTAGGGGCTCCCCAGCCCCAGAAGTGAGACTCAGGCGCCGGCTCCCACTGGCTCACCCCCGCCCCCTACCTCAATCAGTTTGACTACATTCACATGGTCCAGCTTCTTCAGGATGGCAATTTCCTGGTACACCCGCTCCAAGGGCAGCAGCTGCTTGGCAGGTCCTCCCCGGGCAGCCTGGGACCCTCTTGGGGGAGGGCGACCTGTGACCAGGGAGGGAACTCAAACACCTGCCCCAGACAGCTCGGCCTCACCGTGGCCCAAAGCCAGCCTCCAGCAAGAGTCTGTACAACTGCGGTCATGTCCCAACCCCCGAGCACATTCCCTCCGCCAGCCTTTGCCCAGGCTGTCTCCCTCTCTACTCCATCCCCAGCCAAAACTAGCTCAGGACTGAGGTCTCCTCCTCCTCTGCCACTCAGGCTAGGAGCACCCAGGGCAGACCAGAAGATACATACGTGGAAAGCCATATTGCTTCAGTAACTTCTTTTTGGAAAGGACTTTCATTGCCTAAGGAAGGAGGGACAGAAATGTCACTAGTGTGCCAGGCCTGGGGCTCACGCTTATAATCCCAGCACTGTGGGAGGCCGAGGCGGGCAGATCACCTGAGGTCAGAAGTTCGAGACCAGCCCGACCAACATAGAGAAACCCCATCTCTACTAAAAATACAAAAAATTAGCTGGGCGTGGTGGTGCCTGCCTATAATCCCACCTACTCAGGAGGCTGAGGTAGGACAATCACTTGAACCCAGACGGCGGAGGTTTTGGAGGTTTTGAGATCACGCCATTGCACTCCAGCCTGGTGACTGAGTGAGACGCTGTCTAAAAAAAAAAGAACCTTCACTAGTGTGCAGCCACCAGGGGCTAGAACAGGCTAGGACGTGTGGACTGAGGCCCAGAGACACACACTGACTGGGCATCTGCTGCAGCCTGAGGTCATGGCCCAGGCATGTGTCATGCGGGTTTTGAGGGTGACCATAGCTATGTCTGGGCCTTCCCCTTACTCCCCCAGCAACCCTTTCTGGAACTCTCCCCTAGGAGGAATCCAGCCTCTGCTTGGATATCCCCAGGGTTAGGAATCTCACTCCTTTGCATGCCCCTAGGGACAGGGAGCTCACTCCTGGGCAGCCCTGTCCGCTCTCTCCTACGTACACTCCTGCCCCACCCTTCAGGCTTCTAGGGCCCAGCTTGGACAATGCCTCCCTCCTATCCCCAGACTCACATAGTGTCTGTCTTCACTTTCGTTGTAGGCCAGCCTCACCACACCATAGGCACCCTGCAGACAGGCAGCAGTCAGCCCCACCTGGACAGGCAATCCCTCCTAGGACCAGCTCGGGAAGTGGGGAGCCTGAGCGGCTCTGGTCTCTCCTGCCCCCCATGTACACCTCTCACCACCAGCTTGCTTATGGGTATATATTGTAGCAGAAGGAGGGGACTCCTGTGCCCTGCTAACTGCCCCTGCTTGGCTCAACACAGCTCCATGCCTCCCTCAGTCCCTCCTTGTCAACTGTCAAGAGCTCTGAGGAGTCGGGACTCAGGAGACATATTCCACCCTCCCCCTGGGTACCTGGGTACCTACAGGGCACTACACTGTCCTCACCCCCAGGCTAGGACCTGCCTGGCTCTGCCTCCCATTCCCTCCCACACAGAAGGGCCAGTGCCAAGCAGAGGATCCCGGAGCCTGCACTGATCCAGCCTACCCCGTCCCACCTTGCCAATCTCACTCTGCAGCTTGTACTGGTTCAGCTGAACACAGTCCTGTAGGAGGAAGAGTAAGCATAAGGTCAAGCTGGATCCAGAAGCAACCCTGCTCCTACCTCAGAGCCCGTCTAGTGCCCAATCCCGGCCACAGGCCCCTCATTCCCAGACCCCCAGGTCACACGAAGTTTCTGAGTCTGCATGGGGAAGTCAGTGGTGCTATCACCCCCGTATGTGATAAAAAGATGTGGCTCATATTTGAACACATGACAGGAAAACGCAGCAATTCCCATCTGGATTCTGGAGTCTGGGAGACCCCATTCCATGAGAAACCCATGAGCTACTATTTCCAGAAGCAGCTGAATGAGAAAGTCTAGACTCCAAAAACAAGATGAGGAGCCCTGGGCAGAGGCTGAGAGGCTGGGTTCAGGCACAGAAAGCTCAGCCCCTGACGGAGTCCAGCTCTGTAGACTGCTTAGAACCCGAGTTCACTTTCAGACCTAAGTGGCAAGAACTCCAGTGGAAGCCAGAGGCAGGAAGCAGGCAGGCCACTTCGGAGTCAGAGTGGATTCTAAGAGGCAGAATTAGAAGTGAGGAGGGCAAGCTGGGGAAGAGTGAGGAAGCAGGGAGGACATGGCATCTATCTTCAAACCTCTAAGAGGATGACACAGGGGACAAGGGAGAGACCTATGTCCTAGGCCTGGGCTGGGGGTGGGAATGGCAGCCTTTGGCTCAGCTGGAGCTCCCCTGGGTGGGAAGAGGCTGCATTGTTAGGTAGTGATCTCCCCAGCTCTGAGGGTATGCAAACCAAAGCTAAATAGCTGTGTGACACAGAGAGGGACAGAAAAGAGTTTTCACTGCAGTCTACTGAGGGCCTCTGCCACCAACCTCTGCATCTGAGATGGCCACGTGATGAGACTCGACAGTAGGCCTCCGCCAGGCCCGTGGGAAGACGTGGCTGGCAGGCCCCGTGGCATAAGGCCCAGCCTGTGCCCCCAGATAGCTTCCTGCCGGCCGCTCCTGCAGGGAAAGCTTCCGAGCCGAGAGGCTAGGCCGGGCTGGGAGCAGTCTTGAAGCACTACCAGGGATGACAGAGGTGGCTCTAGCCCGTGGTGGAGGGTCCACACCGTTTCTAGTGGGCTCTGGGCTACAATTTGCTTCTTCCAAGTGGGTAACATCAATGGCTGCTACCCGTTCTACCAGCTCTGCCCGAGGATCCTGGCAGCAGACAGCTGGGCCGCCCTCCATTGCTTCAGTCAAGTGGGGGTCTTCTGAGTAGCCTTGCTGGAAACCTGAGAAAAGAGGACAGAGAAGCCTTCACTCCTGGATGTCAGGCTGGCTGCTGAGTAAGGAGTTCCCCCCTTCCTCCCGTGGCCACAGCCCCCTGGCTCCCACCTCCTTGCCTCTGCGTTGGCTGCTCCCTCTACCAGGAGTGCCAACACCCCGACTCAAGTCTGTCCCTATGAACTGAGGGAATTCACATCCGCTTCTGCTGTATGCCAGCCCTCCAGGCCTCAGTCTCCCCACCGGTAACAGGCAGTCACCTCTGCCTGCTGGCTTCACAGGGAAGCAGAGAGAACCTGATACTCTGGGATCAGGACAGACAGGGGCAGAAGCCTGGAGGCCCAGCAGCACTGGAGGAGCAGAACCCAGGGTTGGCTCAGCCCCAGCAAGGCATGCAGTCCTGTGAGTCCTGAGTCCTGACCCTGGACCACAGAGCTAGGCACTAGCAACTCGGAAGCTGTGCTGGTGCTGCAGACCCACCCGCCTCTTCCAGGGAGGCCTCCCTGATGTTGCAGCCTCCTATCCCCACCCTTCTCACTGCTTCCAGGAAGACTTCCCTGGGGCTCCTGACTCCAGCTGGCCCTGCCTCATTGATACCTGTTAAAGCAAAAGGATGGGCCTCGAGGGGTGGCTCACGCTTGTAATCCCAGTACTTTGGGAGGAGGAAGCAGGCAGATCACCTGAGGTCAGGAGTTCGAGACCAACCTGGCCAACATGGCAAAATCCTGTCTCTACTAAAAATACAAAAATTACAGGTGGTGGCACACACCTGTAATCCCAGCTGAGGGAGGCAGAGGCAGGAGAATCACTTGAACCCAGGAGGCAGAGGTTGCAGTGAGCTGAGATCGTGCCACTGCGCTGGGCAACAGAGCAAGACTCCATCTCAAAAAAAAGCAAGGGGATGGGAATGAGGGGAATGAGGGGACTGAGGGGTAATACAGAGACAGGACACCCTGACATCCATGTTCTCAAAGTCGCTGTGTGGTGGCTCAAACATCAGGGAGGTGACGCCCAGCCCTCACCTTCAGCCATGACCCTGGGCTATGCCCTGAGCCTGGACTGCACCCTGACACTCAGCCTGAGACCCCCGGCCCTGTCCCAGGCTGGCAGAGCGCTGGCCGCACCCAAGCTGATGCCCCACCCCTGCTTGCACTGGACTCCGCATCTTCTCAGGAGAAGGAAGTGATGGACTCCTGACCCTCCATCCTTCCTGTCTGCTGGTAACTTCCTCTGGACCCACACAGTGACTGAGAACATGGGTCTCAGGGAGCGATGCGCCTGTCACCCTGCGTTCCCCATGCCCTTGCTTTGACAGATGTCAGCGAGGCAGGGCTGGCCACTGAGGAGCCAGGGCCGGGTTCCAGTCCTGCCTGCTGACTTACCAGGGGCCCCAGACAAGCTCCTTCCCAATTCTGAGACCTGGTCTCTTGACTTGTCATAGGGATTCCATACCTTCCAGATTCCCCAGCCTCACAGCAGGGTTTGGAGGTAGACTGTGGGTGAGGGTGTGGTCCAGACCCCTGTGCCTGGCACGCAGCATGTTGACAGAGTGGAAGTCTAGAGGTAGTGGGGCTGATGCTGACACGGAGAAAGGAAGAGGGAGGGGTCCACACCAGGAACAGGAAACGGCATGGAAGCTGGACCCAGAGGAATGAGAGGGAAGCGGTGGGGCTGGAACATCAATCAGGCCTCCCTGGAGGAGGTGAGAGGGACAGGGAGTGGGACTGTGGCACTGGGAGGGCTCCCTGGAGGAGGTAAGAGGGACAAGGAGTAGGACTGCGGCACGGGGAGGACTCCCCGGAGGAGGTGAGAGGAGCAGGGAGTTGGACTGCGGCACGGGAGGGTTCCCTGGAGTAGGTGAGAAGGACAGGGAATGGGGCTGTGGCACAGGGAGGAATCCCTGGAGGAGGTGAGAGGGACAGGGAGTGGGGCTGGAGCTTGGGGAGACCTTGGAAAGCAGATGCATGGGGTAGGGAGGAGGAATCCAAAGCAGGGAAGTGCCCTCCCGCCAGGCTCCTCCCAGCATGTGGCCTAGCCCTCTACCCAGTCCCCTCACCCTGAAAGCCTTGTCTTCCCTCCTGAATGTAAGCGCAAGCCTTGTCTTCCCTCCTGAATGTAAGCTTTGAGATTAGGGCTCTTGTCTGCCTTGTCTCCAAAAGATCACCAGTGCCTGGCGTGTAATAGGAACCGGATAAATATTTGTTGAAGAAATGAGTGGTTGCCATAGTGACCGTGACAGCCCTGTCCCCATTAGACAGATGAGAAAGCAGCCTCAGAGACGGAACCCTAGCCAGCCTCGGGCTGTAGCACACAGAGGAGAATGAACTGCAGATCAGGAGCTCCTGCTCTTTGGCTGGAGCAGGGACCATGGGACTCAGAGCCACCACAGGCAGAGGCCATAGCTGCCTGGGCCAATACAACTTGCCTCTGATTTTCCTAAGGTTGCCATTCCAGCAAGAGGCCATCCTCTTTCACCCTTTAACACCATTCCCCCCTTTTCTTAGGTAGAGTGAGGCCCAGCAGCCGGAGGGGATGGGGATAGGGATGGAGCTGGGGCTGTCCAGCAGGTCGGGGCAGAAGGCTCCTGTCCCAGCCTGAGCGCGGCTACCCAGTTTGATGCCCTGGCTCTGAAGCCAGGCAGCCAGGCTGTACCCTTTCCTGGCTGGGGGTCCTGATCAGGTGGCTTCGCCTCTGTGCCCTGGGTTTTTCTCACCTGCAATGGGGTTTCCCCTCACCACACGTTGTGAGAGAGACCAGGACCTGCCACTAAGGGGTCCTGTAAAAGTGAGTTGTTGTTGTGCTGCGGCTGTGGTGATTGCTTGGGACACGCAGTGGCCCAGATGGATGCGCGGGTGGTGGAAGGCAGCTTCGAGGGCTGACGTCAGGCTCTCCCTCCCTCCCTCCCACCTGGATCAAGTTCAGGTGACTAAGCGCATCTGCGAGGGAGGCGGTGGCCAGGGAGGCCCGAGGTTCCTGCTGCGTGTCTGAGAGACAGGGCCTGGCGGCACTGCGGTGCATGTGGGGGCGTGCGTTCACACAGGAGAGAATACGTACATGCAGGCTGTGGGCCTGGAGTGGTGGCATGTATCTGCGTGTGTTGTGGGTCCACACACAGGAGTGCGATGTGTGTATGCAGGTGTGGGCATGCGCCTGTGTGCCTGCGGGTCTCCACAGACCAGTGCCCAGGGTGAGGGTGGCCTCCCCAGGGGCCCTGATCCCAGAGCTCATATCTGGACTTTCCTCACAGTCACTGGTGCTACCAGCCTGGCACTGCCTGCTGCATGGGGTTCTGTGCCCCAGGCAGAAACCCAGGCCCATCAGGGGCTCACACAGGGGGTGTCTCAGGCCCTTCCCAAGCTCAGGCCTCAGTAGACGCTTTGTAGAAACTAATTCAGTGGATAACTAGGGCCATGTGGGCAAACAGAGAGATGAACAGCCAGGCTGGGACCCAGGCCCATGACAGCAAGGATTCCCATGGGCACAGGGGCTCCCTAGGCACTGGCACAATCCTGCAGCCATGAATGGCCAGACTCAAGCCCTCCCTCTTTGAGAAAAATACTCCAGTCCTGTCCTCCCAGACTGGGGGTCCACTGCCTTGGACAAGTCACTGTGCCTCCCGGAGCCTCAGTTTCCTAATATGTGAATGAAACAAATGGTCGTCGTCCTGCCAGCTCCCAGGTCTACAGAAAGAACAGAATGAGCTGTGGACACGGAAGTAGCTTGTGCCAGGGCACTGTGGGGCTCGGATGTGTCCGTGTCTGGAAGCCAAGAGAGCCTTGATGTACAAGGTACAACCCCACCTCTGCCCCCGGGTCCAAGACGGCCTGACATATACCCCGCCTTCCCACCAGGTTTCTCCTCCCAGGCTGTGCCTCATCCCACAAGTATCTGGCCACTCCCAAGGAACGTGGGCCCCTGGCTCCAGATGCCTGCTTGGCCTGGCCTCTCAGGACATGCCCCATGCAGCTGCATCCCTCAAAGGAGTTCCAGAGCAGGGCAGAGCAGGCAGACCCTGCAGCCATCCTCTCGGGTTCAAGCAGCTCTGCCTGGGAGGACTTCAGGCCCTGGTCAGGCCTCATTCCGAGCTCTGAAAGGCTGAGGCAGGGGACTAGCTATGTCCAGGTAAAAGGATGGAGAGCCCTGACCAGCTGAGGACCCACCAGAAGGGACAGCCACAGAGGTGGCAGCCACCCAGGCCAGACACAGAAGGTGGCCCTGACATCCCCGGGCCGCCTCACTGGAGCCGTGTTTATGATCCCGATGAGTGTCTGGATGGCCCTGGCAATGGGTACCCTCCGCAGCTCCCGCCCCCACCTGGGATGACTCAGTCCCCTTGAGGGAGGCCCAGGCGTCTGTGCCAAGTCATGCTTGACGACTCCTGCTGTGAGGACGCCCGCTCCCACCATCCCCGGGGAGCCCTCTGTGCCTGACTCAGCACAGCTACCCCGGCACATCGTCCTGGCCCACCCGAGGAGGCTGACAGTCTCCAGGCCCCATCCTCCACCTCTGCCCATCCTCATCCTCCACACCAGGTCTGTGCTCCAGCCTCACTCTTTCCAGCCAGCTGCCTCCTCCCCCTCCACAAGCAGCTCGGATCCAACAGGGCCCCGTTCAACTCAGCATCTTCCCTGAAGCTGCTCATCCTCCTGTCTCCGTTGCCAAGATGGGTGCTGCACCCTCCCCATTCTTTCCTGACCCAGGCCAACAATCCAGGAGCCCTCCTTGTCACTTGGCCTCTCCCTGCAGCCCATCCTCGCTCCCACCCCACACTCACTCTCCACCCAGCCACACCACGGCTGCCCCAACTGCAGATTCTGTCCTGCTGCCAGGCCCCTGTACAAGCTGTGCCTTCTGCCAGGAACACGCCTCCCTCTCCTCTGCTGCCTGGAGGACAGCCAGACCTCGCCTCTTCTGAGAGCCTCCCTCATCGCCCTGCTACTGGCTGAGTGAACTCACCAAGTCAAACCCCTTAGAAAGTCCAGATTCCGACCCCACTTCCTTTCCTGCCACGTGTATCTTCCCCGACCCCAGGCTCACACCTCCACCCCACCCTACCCCCTCCTCCACACCAGGTGCTAGAGGGAGGATTTCTAACATGCAAATGTGGGGACAGTTCTCCCAGACCTGGCCTTCCAGGAACTTGGAATGTCAGGGACAGAGGAGCAGAATTGGCCTCAGACCAGGGGCAGGGGGTCACAGGCTAGGGGGCAGGGCCATGGACGCCTGGGATGCAAATCCAAGTAGTCTGCGAGCACCTGCTGGATGCCTGCCAGGCTCTGTGCGAGGTGTGGGGAGACACAGCAGCGAACCAGAAAGACAGTCTCTACTCTCATACAGTTTAATTGATTCTGGGGGCAAGAAGCAACAAACAAGAAAGCCAGTGAGTAATTCAGATAGGATATGTGAGGTGGTACATACAGTGGAGCAAAACACAGCAGAGTAAGAAGGATCAGGAGAAGGGGGCTGGGAGATGCTGCTGGTACAGTGTGCTTCAGGAAGGCCTTTGCGGTGCAGGATTTGAGCAGACGCCCAAAGGAAGGAAGGAGGAACAGGCAGCCTGGCTATCTGGGGAAGAGCGTTTCAGGCGCAGGGCCCCGTGGGTGCAAAGGCCGTGAGGGGACAGTGCTTGCTCCGTGTGAAGAACAGCAGGGGGGCCTCCCTGATGTGGCTGGAGTGGAGTCTTCCACACATCAGGGGCACCTGATTACATGAGGAGTGACATCTGGAGAGAAAGCCCCTCATTCACTGTGCTGGCCTCGGGGATGGCTTCCTGGAGGAGGTGGCACTAAGCTCTTATCTGAGCACTGAGTAGGGTTTCAGGAGGAAGAGAGGGTGGAAGTTCACACTGTGCACAAACAGAGTCATTTCCTGGTTGGGACTTGGGGCTTGGTTTGGGGGTGGGGGCAGTGTGGTAGACAGAGCCCAGGAACCCCCCAAGCCAGGGGGAGATTGTTGGCAGGGGAATGCCTCAGCTAGGTGAGCTTTAAATCGACTGCCATGGCTGCTATGGGGGACGGTGGGAGACCAAGGAGGAGGCGAAGCGTCCCCAGAGTGTGTGTGCCTGTGATGAAGTTGGGGGTCAATTTGTAAGTATTAGAGGAAGGAGCGCAGGGCTTGGGGAGGCTGGTGCCGCGTCCTTGGGATCCTCCAGTGCACCAGCTGTGTGCCCCTCCCACACTCCTGTGCCGTCCCCGTGGACTCCACCAAGGCACGGTGCTGTGGCCTGTGACACCGCTTCTCTGCACGGCCCTGTACCGCCCTCCAGACGCGCACACCCCCTCCCGGGACAGGCACACGCCCTTGTCCGCGTGACCCGCCCTCACACACCACTCCATCCTGTCCTGGTACCCCCACGCAGACACAGGCACACTCCCCCGTCCACGTGACACACGCACGCCCGCCTCCAAACAGCACACGCAGGTCCCCGCGCACGTGGGCGCCCCCCCCCCGCCCCCGCAGCCGCCAGCCCTGCGCCTCCCGGGCCCCGGAGCCGCAGCGCCCGCCTCTGCCGCCCCCTCGCGCCCCGGCCTGGGCAGCACTCCGCGCAGCCCGCGCCGCACTCCGCGCAGCCCGCGCCGCACGCCGCCGCCGCCCCATTCATCTCCCACCTCGCCCCGGGCTCCCGCAGGAAGACGCTCGGGAGGACCGTGGGAGGAGCGCTCCGCGGAGAGCCGCACGTGGGTGCCCCGGGCCGGGCCCACTCCGCACAGACGCGGCCTCCACCCACCCTCCCGGGAGCGGGAGATGGTGCGTCCGGGAGGGATGCTGTCCGCAGACAGGCGCGGGGGAAGAACGCAGGCGGCGTGGCGCCCGCAGCGATGCGATCCCGGCGGCCGGCGCAGACTCAAGCCGACTCCGCGGGGCACAAACCGGCCCCGCAGACAGAAGGGGAAGGTCTCCACCCGCGCCAGATGCACGCTCGCTTCCCCGCAGACGCCCCTCTCCGGGCAGGCTGGGGGCAGGTGTCACGGCGTTCGTCCTCCAGCTCCCGGCCCGCGTCCCCTCCCCGCCGATCCCTACCTGAGCACCGGGCGACAGTTTCCGCGGCCCGGCGGGCGGCCCGGCCCGCTCCCGCTGCGCGCCGGCCCCGCCCCGCCCCGCCGCGCCCGGCCACCTAGCCGGGGCCCGGCTCCTCAAGCTCAGCCTGCGGGCGCCGCTCGCCGCCCCGCCCACCGTCGCGCCCGACTCACGCTAATTGGTCGGGCCGAACGGCCCCGCTAGCGCCGTCCAATCAGAGCCCGGGACTCCCGCCCCCTCCTGGACTCGGGGATCGCGGCGGGCGGCGCGGGAGGGGCGCTCCCTTCCCTGCTCTGGGCCTACCTCGCCACGCCCCTGGCGTCCGGGGCCCCCGAAGTCCCTCCTGGCCGCGGCGCAGGCCCTTCACCTGAGCCTGCAGGGCACGTGGCTTCCTAGCCAGACCCTTTGCGCCCCCATCCCGGCCTGCGGGAGTCAGGGCGTCCCTCCCTCCCGGGCTAGGCGCGGTGCGTGCGAGGGAGGGGCGAGGCCCGGGAGGAAGGCCTTGAATGGCAGGTCTAGAGTGTAGCTGCTGCGGGGCGGGAGCAGGGAGGCTGAGAGGTGGTTCAGCATAGAGCGAAGTGGTGGCTCGGGGAGCAGGCGACAGGTTGGCCTAGCGGGGTCCCAGGGAATGGCGGGAACTCAACAGGGCATGGTGACCTTCCCCTTGGCTGTTCCTGGGGATTCTGCCTCCACCTCGTCCCCTAACGCCTCCGGGTGTGAAAACTCTAGCATTACCCCTTGCCCCATGTCCTTCCCCAAACCTGACCTCCTGTGTCCTGGTCTGCAAGTGCAGCCAGGAGCCTGGGAGTCACTGCAGCCTGTTTCCGGCTCCATTCAGTCATCTCCAGGCCCTGCCATGCTGCCTCTTAAGTATCCCCGGAATCTGCCCATTTCTCTCCACCCCAGGTCCCTTCCCTTAGCTCAGGCTACCACCACCTTGCCCCTGATTGCTACAGCAGCCTCCTCACTGGCCTCCAGCCCCTTTCAGTGAACGTCCTGGTCTTTCTCTACCTGGCAAGTTTTCAGGAACAAAGTCCACAGAATTAGCTCCTGCTTAGACATCTTCTGTGGCTCATGGCTACCCAGAGAATAGGTCTGATCAAACCCTGTTTCACCTTACTCCCAACCACCTGCCTGTTTAACGCCTACTTGTTCTTTCAGGGCTCACTTCAATGTCCCTTCTGCCAGGAAACCTCCATACCTCCCCGCTTCCCGGCATGGGTTAGCAACCTCTCCAAGGTACTTCTTGTACCCAGCATCTGTTTACCTGCTTGTTTGCCATCGGGACTGGGAGCTCCTTGATGGCAAGCACTGTGTCTGATTCATCCAGCACACAGCCTGTCACATGGCACAGGTGCTCAATGGATGATTGTTGAATGAACAATTCCAGAAACTTCTGGATGTGGCTTTTGACCTCATGGTTCAAGATAGCGGCTAGAGCTCCAGCAATCCCATATGTGTTCCAGGCGGTAAAGTGGAGAAAAGGATGAAGAAGAGGACAGAGGGTCTGCACCAACTCTCTTTTCAGGAAAGTTCCCAGAAGTTGCCATGTGACGCTTTCACATACACCACTTGAGCTTAGTCACGTGACCAGACCCAGCTGCAAGAGGAAGCTGGGAAATGCAGCTTCCATTCTGGGTAACCACATGCCCAACCAAGAACCAAGGACTGAATTGCTATAGGGAGAATATACATCCGGAACAACTAGTGGACTCCACCTTTGAGAGGGTGGATAGATGGAGGGGCAGAGCACGACTGTATGCCAGGCTCCATTTACATGTCTTTTCTCATCGCTACTAAAAACTACTATTGGCCGGGTGCGGTAGCTCCTGCCTGTAATCCCAGCACTTTGGGAGGCTGAGGTGGGCATATCATTTGAGGCCAGGAGTTCGAGGCCAGCCTGTTCCACATAGTGAAACTGTCTCTATTAAAAAAAAAAAAAAAAAAAAAAAAAAGAGCTGTTCTTATCCTTGACTCACAGAGGAGGCTTGGAGAGTTAAGCCACTTCCCCAAGGACATACAGTGAACTGTGGCAGAGCTGCAGTTGAAACCTGTCTTTTCCTTGCACACCAGACAGGCTGGAAAATCTGGAAAGGGTGTGTCCTAGGAGCTGCTGGAAGGAAGTCTTTTCACAAGGAGGGCTTGGACAACGATGCCAGATGCTGTCAGGCCAAGCAGGATATGGGGCCAAAGGATCTGCCTAGATATGGCAACTAGGATGCCGCCGGTGACCTTGGCAAGGGCATCGAGGAGAAGTGGTGGGTGGAGGCCAGTTGCAGAGGGAAGTGTGGACTGGTCTTTCTGGAAGGGTCGCAGTGAGGGGAGAGTGGGCAGAGCTGCTGGGGAACCTTGGGCCAGAGGAGGCAGAAGAGGGGAGCAGGTGTAGGGCTGGGAGAATGGGGGTGGCTTCTGCTGTGCAGCCTGTGGCTGGGTAGCAAGGCTGAATACAGAGGAGGGGCCCTTTTCTGTTCATTTGGAAGGGAAGGGGGCAGGGGGTGCAAAAGCAGGTGGGTCTGGAGAAGGAAGGGGGGGCAGAAGAGGGAGTTCCAGTCTTGTAAGTGATGGTTCTTGGTTGGGGAAGAGGGCAGAAGGCCAAGGGCCTGAGGGAGATGGCAGGGGCTGGACTGTGTCATCCAGTCTGGCAGCCACTAGTCACCTGTAACATTTAAATTAATTACAAGTAAACTGGCCAGTCACGGTGGCTCACTCCTGTAATCCCAGCACTTTGGGAGGCCGTGGCGGGTGGATCACGAGATCAAGAGATGGAGACCATCCTGGTCCACATGGTGAAACCCCGTCTCTACTAAAAATACAAAAAATTAGCTGGGCATGGTGTCGCGTGCCTGTAATCCCAGCTACTCAGGAGGCTGAGGCAGGAGAATTGCCTGAACCCAGGAGGCAGAGGTTGCGGTGAGCCAAGATCGCACCATTGCACTCCAGCCTGGGTAACAAGAGTGAAACTCCATCTCAAAAAAAAAAAAAAAAAAAGACTTCCTCCCCTCTTTGGGATTCCCCCAGATCTCCCTCCTGGACAGTCAGCCCCTTCCTCCCTGCTGGTTCATGAGGCCACTCCTGGGGTTCTCTACTTGTCCCAGTGCCAGGCCTCTCACAGCCGAGGAGGATTAGGGAGAGTGCCGATGTCAGGGCTGTGCCAAGATAGCAGCCTGTGGACAGAGGTGAGCCGACGTCCCCATCCAGCCCTGGCCCTGCTGGGCTCAGGGCGTAAGAGTCGGCTCACTGGTCCCTGCCTACCCCCACCCTGCTCCCGGCAGATCCAGAGGAATCTCAGAGACTGCCCAGCTTAGCCCCACGTTTCACAGACGAGCACACTGAGTCGCAGAGAGGTCTGGAAAGAAAGCATGGAAGGCAGAGGTCTGTCCTCACTCCCTTTATTGTACTCCGTCCCCCACTTTCCCCAGACCTTCTGTTCAGACAGAGCCAGGCAGGCCTTTGGAGTGAGGGCTGAGCCACAGGCAGGGAGCCCAGGATGTGGCTGGAGCTCCCACCCCCAACCCGAGGTAGCTGCGTAAGGATTCATGGCTAGAAGGGCTGGCCTGGCCTGGCACTCTTGGAGAGAAGCTTTTCCTGTGGAGGTGACGTGGCATGGACCCTGAGTCTGTGCATGGTGGTGGAGGTGTGTTTAGATGGTTGTGTTTGACGGGCCCCAGCTGTTTATAGACACAGTGTGGAAGGACGCTGCGTGCATGTGGGCAGTGCATACGCCAGGTTGTGTGTATGACACACCGTGTGGCACATAAGTATATGACACACACACTGGAGGTGTCCAGGACCCTGCTCCGTGTCTGCACCTGCCAGGTGGTGCAAGCTCAGGACAAAGTCTGACTCCTGCTCAGGAGCTTAGGGTCAGAAAGTTCATGACAGGGCACGGTGGCTCATATCTGTAATTCTGGCACTTTGGGAGGCCAAGGTGGGCAAATCACAAGGTCGGGAGTTCAAGACCAGCCTGGCCAACATGATGAAACCTCATTTCTACTAAAAATACAAAAGTTAGCTGGGCTTGGTGGTAGGTGCCTATAATCCCAGCTACTCAGGAGGCTGAGACAGGAGAATCATTTGAACCTGGAAGGCGGAGTTGTGGTGAGCTGAGATTGCTCCACTGCACTCCAGCCTGGGCAACAGAGTGAGACTCCATCTCAAAAAAAAAAAAAAATTCTGGCCGGGCGCGGTGGCTCAAGCCTGTAATCCCAGCACTTTAGGAGGCCGAGGTGGGTGGATTATGAGGTCAAGAGATGGAGACCATCCTGGTCAACATGGTGAAACCCCGTCTCTACTAAAAATACAAAAAATTAGCTGGGCATGGTTGCGGGTGCCTGTAATCCCAGCCCCTCAGAAGGCTGAGGCAGGAGAATTGCCTGAACCCAGGAGGCAGAGGTTGCGGTGAGCCGAGATCGCGCCATTGCACTCCAGCCTGGGTAACAAGAGCGAAACTCCGTCTCAAAAAAAAAAAAAAAAAAAAGAAAGTTCGAGGACAGTAGTTCTTCAGTTTAGGTCCCAGAACGGCCTGGGGAGTTTGCTGTCTGTGCAGGTCATATGGCCAGCCCTAGGGCCTGTGGTTTCGGAAGTCTGGGCTAGACCCAGGAGCCTGCATGGTCGATACATTTCCCAGGGAAACCCAAGGCCAGGAAGAAACAGGGCTCAAGCAGAGCTGTCTCATACAACTTTCTTCAATGGTGAAAATGCCCTGAGCCGTCCAATATGGCAGCCACTAGCCACACGTGTCTACTGAGCAGCTGAAATCTGGCTAGTTCAACTGAGGAAGTGAATGCTGTGTTTCATTGATTTTATTTTAGTTTAATTTAGTCGCCTATGGTTATCCACTGCCACATTGGAGAGCCCAGAGCTGGAGGAATGGAGGCAGAGGGATGGATCGTGAGGTCCAGAGAGAGAAGCGCAAGGCTAGCGTACAGGTGTGTGGGAGGGGCCTGCCCAGCCCCAGCCCTTCCCTCCCAGGAGCGGCTGAGACCGGGGCAGGCTCCCTTGGGGGGTGTGGAGTTGGAGCCAGAGCTCAGATTGGCACACGTCTCTCCTAGTTTGCACCCTGAGCTTCTGGCAAACTGGTATGTGCCTGGCTGAGAGGGTAGGAGACTTCCTGTGGAGACCCTCTGCCCTGGCTGGGACCCAGCAGGCCCCCAGCCTGAAGCCTCACGCTGCATGCAGTCGGGAGTACAGGCTGGCATCAGGATACCCTCAGGTTCTCCTGCAGGCCCAGGGTGGAGCTGGTGGCAGCGGGGTCATGTTCACCCTGTGTGTGTGGTGCAAGGTTGGGGGACACAAGTTGGTGCTGGGGAAGCAGCTGCCCGTCCCCCTCAACGCAAACGCCTGTGCCGGAGGCTCCGAGGGCCGGGTTCAGGGAGCTCCCTCACCTCTGCTGGCCGCATGTCCTCAGCGTACTTGAACTTCTTCTGTTTGTAGTAGCGTCTCTTGGGCAGGATGTGAAGCAGCAGCAGGTCACAGAGGACGGTGGCCTGGGGTCAGGGAAGGGCAGGGAGACAGCGTGGGAATCTGGGGACGGGCACAGAGCCCACCACATCCCTGCTCAGTCCCTAACGCTGTGGCCTGGCCGGATCCCTCCTCACTGGAGGCCTATTTCCTGGAGGGTGGACGAGGCCCTGCAGTACTCTCAGGGGACCAAGATGGTTCCACCCTGACAGAATGAGAGGGGGGATCTCATTTGGCCGCCAAGCTGGAGGGCAGCAGTGTAATCACAGCTCACTGCGGCCTCCGACTCCTGGCATCAAAGCCAGCCTCCCGCCTCAGCCTCCCAATGTGCCGCAATTATAGGTATGAGCCAGTGTCCTGGCTCTGGGCCTTGGTTTTCTTAGATCTGCTGTGTGTGGTGGGGTGGGCAGCTGCTGGCCCAGAAATGATAGACCGTTAGGGTCAAGTTTTAGGGTGAGAGGTGTCTTGCTGCTACTGACTTGTGGAAGAGTAGGAGCTGACCCAGCACAGCGACCCGGTGACCCCAGCACTTACCACCCCGAAGATGCCAATCCCAGAGCCGATGGTGGTCATCGTGGGGATAATGTCAAATTTCCCGGCCTGGTGGTAGGACCCAGGGAGAAAAGGGCTACCAGTCGGAAGGGGTACAGCTGGAAAAGGGACAAGGGTACTTCCCCACCCTCAGCTGTGAACTGTCCCTGCCTCTGACTCTATATGCACCAACAGCTGCTGTCAGTAGACCTGGGTTTTGACCTTGGCTCTGCCTCCCTGGGCCCAAGGGGACTGTGGGGGAGACATGGCCATAGGTTGCAAAGCTCTGCCCTGGACAGCCCCCACGCCCCGTCTGTTATTAGAAGTAAAACTGCCAGATGAACCCATCCAACTTCCGGATGTCTGTAACTGTAGATGCCCAGAGGTACTCAGAGGAGCCAAGAACGTGTCTCAGCTGCCACCACACTCACGCTGGACTCTCACCTTGCCGTCCACCAGGATGTCAAAGCGAATCCCAAACACCTTGAAGAGGTGACGGTGGTTGGTCCCGTTCTCCACAAAGTGCCTGGCAAACCTTGGGGAAGGGATGAGGTGGCAGGAGGGTGATGGAGGGGACTGTCTTGGGTCTGGATTTCTCAGCGGATCAGGGATGCAGGAGCCTTAGCAGTCTCTAAATAAAGCCCCATCCCCAGCCCGGGCAGGCTCCCGGGCCTCATTCTGGGAAAGTTGTACTCAGCTCTTGCCCCAACTGCTTGCTTTTGTTTGTTTTTTGAGACTGAGTCTTACTCTGTCAACCAGGGTGAAGTGCAATGGCACTATCTTGGCTCACTGCAACCTCCACCTCCCAGGTTCAAGTGATTCTCCTGCCTCAGCTTCCCAAGTAGCTGGGACTACGGGCATGTGCCACCATACCCTGCTGACTTTTGTATTTTTAGTAGAGACGGGTTTCATCATGTTGGCCAGAATGGTCTTGAACTCCTGACCTTGTGATCCACCTGCCCCAGCCTCCTGAAGTGCTTGGATTACAGGCATGAGCCACTGCGCCTAGTTGTTTGTTTTAAAGAGATGGGGTCTCATTCTGTCACCCAGCCTGCAGTGCAGTAGTGTAATCACAACTCACGGCAGCCTCAGACTCCTGGCCTCAAAGCCATCCTCCCACCTCAGCCTCCTGAGGTTCAACAATGACAGATAGGAGCCACTGTGCCAGACCATTGCCCCAGCTCCTGATGTCAGCAATTTCTCCAGCTTGTTCTGGCCGGGTGGACCTCAAAGGGACTGAGACCCAGGGACAGGGGATCGGAGACTTCAATATCTCGCTCCTGCTGGCTTCCTACATGGGAGGAAGGCACAGTAGGAGCCGCACAGACCCTCTGCTCCCCTCTGGGGATGCTTTTTCAGCTGCGAAGGGTTGGGGGAATAGGAGACCCTGCAAGACCACCAGGAAGGATGGCTGGGGTGTGGGGGCTGACAGACACCTGAAGTTGAAGCCTGGGGAGAGGTTTTTCTCCTCGTATAGCCCATGGAATTCGTAGATGGGTTTGCAGTGTCGCACGTGCCAGTCGAAGTCACAGTGCCAGTCGATGGTGATGCCAACCATGCCACCCTGCCAGGGACACAAGTGGTTAAGAGCTAGGGTCTCAGGATAAAAAACCCCCATCTCGGCTGGGCATGATGGCTCATGCCTGTAATCCAAGCACTTTGGGAGGCTGAGGCGGGTGGATCACCTGAGGTCAGGAGTTCAAGACCGGCCTGACCAACATGGTGAAACCCCATCTCTACTAAAAATACAAAAATTAGCCAGCATGGTGGTGCATACCTGTAATTCCAGTTATCAGGAGGCCGAGGTAGGAGAATCACTTGAACCCAGGAGCGGAGGTTGCAGTGAGCCGAGATCGCACCACTGCACTTCAGCCTGGGTGACAGAGCGAGACTCCGTCTCAAATATGGTAACAAACAAAAACCCCATCTCACAGCTGGTACCAGTATTCTCTTGAAAACATTTTGGGGCCAGGCGCAGTGATTCAAGCCTGTAATCCCAGCACTTTGGGAGGCTTCAGCAGGTGGATCATCTGAGGTGAGGAGTTCGAGACCAGCCTGGCCAACATGGTGAAACCCCATCTCTACTAAAAATACAAAAATTAGCAAGGCATGTTGGCAGTGCCTGTAATCCTAGCTACTCGGGAGGCTGAGGCAGGAAAATTGCTTGAACCCTGAAGGCAAAGGTTGCAGTGAGCCAAGATCGCACCACTGCACTTCAGCTTGGGTGACAGAGCGAGGGTCCATCTCAAATGCGGTAACAAACAAAAACCCCATCTCACAGCTGGTACCAGTTCTCTCTCAACGACAACATTTTGGAGCCAGTCGCAGTGGCGAACACCTGTAATCCCAACACTTTGGGAGGCCGAGGTGGGCAGATCACCTGAGGTCAGGAGTTGGAGACCAGCCTGGCCAACAAGATGAAACCCTGTCTCCACTAAAAATACAAAAATAGTCAGGTGTGGTGGCAGGTGCCGTCATCCCAGCTACTCCGGAGGGTGAGGCAGGAGAATCTCTAGAACCTGGGAGGCGGAGGTTGCAGTGAGCTGAGATCGCCCCATTGCACTCCAGCCTGGGTGACAGAGTGAAACTCCATGTCAAAACAAAACAAAACAAAACATTTTTTATTCGAAAAAAAGACACTGAGAAGCTGTTTTGGGGTAAAGGTCCTATCACCCTCTCTAGCCTTCTAATTACCCTCCACACTCCAGCTTTCTGACCATTTCATTTTTATTTAATTTATTTATTCATTTATTTTCACCCTGTCACTCAGGCTGGAGTGCAGGGATGCAATCTTGGCTCACTGCAACTTCCACCCTTGGGTTCAAGCATTTCTCCTGCCTCAGCCTCCCAAGTAGCTGGGATTACAGGCATGTGCCACTACACCCAGCTAATTTTTTTTTTTTAGTAGAGATGGGGTTTCACCATCTTAGCCAGACTGGTCTCGAACTTCTGACCTTGTGATCCACCTGCCTTGGCCTTACAAAGTGCTTGGATTACAGGCATGAGCCACTGTACCCAGCCTGTGAGTGGGGTTTTTTGGTAACATCACAGAAAAGGGACTGATTTCATCCCTGAATAGGCAACTGCAGGAGCAGTACTGATAAGGAGCACGTGGTAGCAGCTGGATAGGCCTGCCACGTGCTAGGCATCAGAGCATGCCAGGCGCAGCGAGTCAACTCACCGGACCCTAGGGACAACCCCATGAGACTGGCGCCATGATACCCCCCTTGATGGGGCAAAAGCTCAGCCCCACTGAAGTTTAGAGACTTGTCTGAGTTCCCACTGCTTGTTTGCAGAAGAGCTGGGATTGGAACAAAGTCAGCTAGTTCTGTGCTCATAGAGACTGCTTCTCTGGAGTCCCAGGTGACTGCAAGGATCTCAGGGGCACAGGATTTCTCAGGGCCATAGGCTTTAGGATTCAAGCTGCTTTTATCTATTTTTTTTTTTTAAGACAGAGTCACTCTGTTGCCCAGGATGGAGTGCAATGGCGCGATCTCAGCTCACTGCAGCCTCCACCTCCCGGGTTCGAGCGACTCTCCTGCCTCAGCCTCCCGAGTAGTTGGGATTACAGGCACCCACCACCACACCCAGATAATTTATGTGTGTGTGTGTGTATATATATATATATATATATATTTTTTTTTTTTTTTTTTTTTTTAACAGAGTCTTGCTCTGTCACCCAGGCTGGAGTGCAGTGGTGCCATCTCAGCTCACTGCAACCTCTGCCTCCTGGGTTTAAGCAATTCCCCTGTCTCAGCCTCCCAAGTAGCTGGGACTACAAAAACACACCACTACAGCCAGCTAATTTTTTTTGTATTTTTACAAAATACAAAAGGGTTTCACCATATTGGTCAGGCTGGTCTTGAACTCCTGACCTCAGGTGATCTGCCTACCTTGGCCTCCCAAAGTGCTGGGATTACAGGCATGAGCCATTGTGCCCAGCCAATTTTTATATTGTTAATAGAGACGATGTTTCACTGGCCAGGCTGGCATTTTTTTTTTTTTTTTTTTTTTGAGATGAAGTCTCACTGTGTTGCCCCAGCTGGAGTACAATGGCGCAATCTTGGCTCACTGCAATCTCCGCCTCCCGGGTTCAAGTGAGTCTCCTGCCTCAGCCTCCCAAATAGATGGGATTACAGGCATGTGCCATCACACCCAGCTAATTTTTGTATTTTTAGTAGAGAAGGAGGTTTCACTATGTTGGCAGGCTGATCTCAAACTCCTGGCCTCAAGTGATCCTCCCACTTCCACCTCCCAAAGTGCTGGAATTACAGGCGTGAGCCAGCGCACCTGACCAAGCTGCTTTATCTAATTGTTTTTTTAAAGCAAGACATTAACAAACATCCAGGTGACAAGGTCTGCCCACATCTCTTCATTCTGGGTACCTCCTTTGTGCCAGGTCCATGCCAGGACCTACTGAGTCTCAGGGGCCCTAGTATCAGGGGACAGACGCATACAAACACTCAGCCCTCACCAAGGAGATGGGAGGATGCACTGGGCCTAAGCAGCCTTGATCAGGATCCTGCGGCCCAGCCCTCCCTGCTCGCCTGGCACCATGTTCCATACCTTCTCAGCCAGCGTGCTGAAGTTCTGGCCTGACTCTTGCACCACGTAGCCAAGCTGGAAAACGGGACACAGGGGGTGCAGGGTCTTGTGGTAGAGGCAGGTCTTCATGTAGGCGGCATTCACCTCTTCCACCAAGTTGCGCCTGTCCGGGTGGAAGGTGTTGACAGCAGCGGGGTGCCATCGGGAGGGTGCCCACTACTGCCAAAAGCCTGGGGACCCCTCATTGGCTCCACAATGCCCCTTCGATTCCTTGCATGCCAGCAGGAATGGAGGGAGACAGAGACAGCTGAGAGCAGCTGGGGCAGTCTCGGACAGCCGCCTGAACTTCTGGCGGAATTTCCCACACACCTGTTGACCTTGAAGCGTGGGAAGCTGATGCTGTTCTTGATGAAGAGAGTGAAGTTCTCGGCCTCATGGAGAAGGGCAGGGCTGGAGGACATCACACTCACTCATCCGCTCCTCCCCAGGGGCCCCCTGTGTGTCCCAGGCAGAGCTTGACATAGCAGGGGTGGGCGTGCATCCGGGACCCTCCTCAGCCCTGGGCAGGTGGAGGGGTGGGTGTGCTGTAACCGGCCAAGGCCCGGGGGAATCTTCGGCCCAGGTCATTCGGATGGGGTTGGGGTGGGGTCAGAAAGGGGGTAGAGATCCTTTCTAGACGCAGGTTCCCCCTCTGCCTGGCCTGGGACCCTGTTCTGGCTCCCCAGAAGGTCAGTGTTACCGAGGGATGTCATCATCCACCTCCACGGGGCACCAGCCAAAGATCTCACACGTCTTCACAGTGGCGTTGAAGGCCACACACTTGCCGGTGCGGATGCCTGCGGCCAGAGAGGAACCCCTGGGTGCCCGCCCCAAACTGGGGTGCAGAGGAGGCCACCCAGGCCCCTTCCCCAGGGGCCCCCAGTGAGAGGCACTCAAGCAAAGGAGCTGAGGACAGAAACGTGTCTGGGTCTGGGACAGGGCAGCCCGAGCTTGGGTGGAAGAGGAGAGAGGGCAGGAGGGAGCCCCTCTCAGAGGACGCCTCGGCAGGAGGGGTGTGGGGAGACGCTGGTCAGCATGAGCTGGGCCTGCAGGATGCCAGGGCTACAGCTGGGGGCTGTGGAGGGACAGGAGGAGGCTGACCTTACCTTGGGCCTTTCTCTTGGCTTTTCCAGCGGTGCAGCCACTGTCTTCCTTGCATATGCCGCCTTCCGGGTGCTGGGCGAGGCAAGAGCTGCTGGCCTCAGGCCCCTCCCGTCCCCAGGGCCCGAGGTGGGTGTGGGGCAGTGTCTCCCACCTCTCTGGGGTGACACCCACTCACAGCCTCCTTCCCCATTTCCCCCACCCTGGGGTCCTGCCCAGCCACCCACTGCCAGTGTCAGCTGGGGATGGGGGTGGGCAGTCTCAGCACGCTGCCAGGTATATCAAGTGCTGGGTGGGAAGGCTCAGCTCTGCAGGGCCTGACAGTGACTGTGTGAATACACGCCCAAATTTCCACCGCCATGGCCACTGCGGAAGCCTCTCTGGCTTCCTCTCTGGTGCCCACGGAGACTTTCCCTGCAGGTCATTTTCCCCTGTGAGTCCGGGAAGGGGCTGGTGGGCAGAAGTCCTCACCTCTGCGCAGTAGCCTTGAGCCTGCTTTGGGGTCACGATGAAATTGGTCATGACCACGAAGGAGCTGTCCCCCTAGAAGTGAGGGGCAGGGGAGGGAGGGGTGGGCTGGGAGCTGAGAGAAGAGCCCCAAGGACCCAGAGCTGCCCCAGTAGACCCCTAGAGCCCACAGGACACCCAGCAGCCGCCACACCCCCTGCCATCACCAGGCTGCTTCTGCATGGTATTGCTAAGGCCCGGAGAGAAAGAGGAGCTGGGCTGCTCCCACGGAGACAGAGTCCCACCCGCTCCAAGACAGGCCCTGTGAGGGCAGGCGCAGCCCCAAGCCAGCTCACCTGTGCTGGGAAGACATAGTCAGCCACATCCCAGACCTGGGGGCCGAGGCCGGGGAGCTGGGTCACAGCCAGGCCCTTGAGTTTCACAGACACACTGCTGATGAGGCCGCTGGACGTCTGGTAGCCCTTCTCATAGACAAACACCCACCTGTGCGGGTAGGGGACAGGGGGAGTTGTGGTTCTGGCACGGGCCGGATCCATCGCCTCCTTCCTTGCGCCCACTCCAGATGTGCCTCTGAGCCACCGCCTTCTCCTGAAGCTTCTGTCTTGGACTAGAGGCAGGATGGCCTCCCCTGCCTCTGCCTGCTTCCCCCTGCTGGCTGGTGCCTGAAGTTCCACTGAGCTTCTCACTATGAAAATGTGAATTCAGGCCGGGTGTCGAGGCTCACGCCTGTAATCCCAGCACTTTGTGGGGCTGAGGCGGACAGATCACTTGAGGCCAGGAGTTTGAGACCAGCTTGGCCAACATGGTGAAACCCCATCTCTACTAAAAATACAACAGTTATCCAGGTGTGGTGGTGGGCTCCTGTAATCCCAGCTACTGGGGAGACTGAGGCAGAATTGCTTGAACCCGGGAGGTGGAGGTTGCAGTAAGTTGAGAGTGCAACATTGCAGTCCAGCCTGGGCAATGAGTGAAACTCCTTCTCGAAAAGAAAAAAAAAGCCGGGCGCGGTGGCTCACGCCTGCAATCGTAGCACTTTGGGAGGCCACCTGAGGTCAGGAGTTCAAGACCAGCCTGGCCATCATGGTGAAACCACATCTTTGAGAAAAAAAAAAAAAAAAGAAGAAAAAAGAAAAAAATTTAAAAAAAAGAAAAGAAAAGAAGGAAAAAGAGAGGAAGGGAGGGAGAGAAGGAAGGAGGGGAGGGGGAAGGGGAGGGGGATGGGGAGGGGAGGGGGAGGAAAGGGGAAAGGAAGGAAGAAAGGAAGAAGGGAAGAAGAGGGAAGAGGAGGGGAGGGGAGGGGAAGGGAAAGGAAGGGAGAAATAAATGCTAATTCAGATACTCCCTCCAATCCCTTTCCAAGAACAGCATTTGCTGGGGCCTGGAGGCCAAGCCATTCAGACCCTAATCCTTCCCAGGGTGCTCCTCATTCCAGAGGCGCCAGCAGAGCACAAAGGCTGAGAATATGGTCTTTGGTGCCTAACAGCCTGGGTCCAAATCCCAGCTCCACCACTTACTTACTGGGATTTGGGGTAAGATATTCAATCCCCCTGTGCCTCTGTTTCCTCATCTATAAAACGGGAATTATAGCAGTACTTCTTGAAGTGATCAAATGAGTGAGTTCATACATGTAGAATCACTCAGAATGGGGGCGGCACAGAATCAATGCTGTAGAGACATGAGTTGTTATTATGATCCAGCCATGCTGGGGCTCCCTGGGAGACATGAAGGAACACAGAGCTGGGAGGTGGCCCTCTGAAGGGCTTGCAGCGTCCTGCCCCTCGGTTGAGGCGCTGTAGGAGTGGCTCAGACTGGAGGGCTTCCAGCTTTCTTGGGAAATTCTGGCCTTTCCTTTGCAGCATTAAGCAGTCCTCCTCTGGGTTCTCCACTTTCAGTCTGGAAGGTTCCTCCCTCTTAGCCCCCGAGTGGGCAGATGACCAAGGCTTGCCCATCAGTGTTTCATCCCCCTGGTAGCAGTGATGGGTCTAGGGAGAGGCACATGACCTGGGGAGTTTCAGCAGTGAGGCCAGGACTCTTCTGGAAGGTGCCAGGAAAGGAACACCCTGTCTACTGAGTGGCTAAGCAGGACGGCTGCGAGACGAAACTGTGGTGGTCATCCTTGCCACCTGATAGAGAGGGCAAGCCCGACAGTGAAGCTCACCTAGAGGAAAGCCAGCCCAGGAGATGGAGAGGGGCAGAATCCTGACAATGTTGTTTGAGCACCTGGATTCAGCCATGCCTGAAGCACACATGAAAAATCGATTTCTGGACTTTTCAGTTACATAAACCGATACATTTTTCTTTTACTGAAGCCAGTTTGGGCTTGGTTTCTATTGCTTACAAATGAAAAAGCCCTGGATCACACTGCTCTCCAGGCGGCTCCTTCCTTGAGGAAAGACTCCTTATGGAGATTCCGGGCAATGTGTGTGTATGTGTGTGTGTGTTGGCATATGGAGTGTGTGGCTGTATACTTCCAGGGCAAATCTGTGAGGGCACCTGTGGGCAGATGTGTCATTCCTCTCCACTCCTTACCCTACCGCAAGCTCACCTGTCCAAGGGGAGCTCAAAGCAATGGCCCCTTCTCCTTTCCCCAGGGCTAAGGCCAGTAACAGAACTCTCCAGGCCTCTTAGTCCCAGAGTCACTCCTCTCCCCGCTGCAGGCCCCAGGCCCCAGGAGGCCACCCACCAACGTCCTCTCCTTCCTCCTCCACCCACCTCTCCTCTAAGCCCCCCTGGCACTGGGGCCAAGCCGCACACTCCAGAAGCCTCAGCTTGGTCACTGCTGTCCCCTGCAGGTCCCAGAGAGCAACAGGTAAGGCATGACAAAGGCCCCTGGCTCTCAGTGTCCTGAGCCTGTCACGCTGCCTGCAGCCCCATGGGGGAGAGTGATGGCATCACCCATCCCCCTGCCCTCCTTGGGTCCCTTCCTCCAGGAAGGCCTCTGGTTCTGTGTCCAAGCCAGGAGCTGCTGCAGTGGGGAGGGAGCTGCTCTGTGTTCTGAGTCCCTCTGCAGACAGGCCATGGACCTTCCTCTTGGTGTCCCCAACCCTAAGAGCTTAGTGACCTTTCTATATTTACCTGATACCAATTTATAACACAGCCAGGGAAACTGAGGTCTGCAGGAGTGGCACTCCCAAGTGTCCCCACACTTGAGGCACCCAGCCCAGGATTCAGCCCACCTCCAACCAAGCAACACTGGCTTTCATGTGGCTCCCAGGAGGCAGAGCACAGTGGGCAAACAGAGCCACGTGGAGCCTGCAGGCCTCATGGGGCTGATGCACTCAGCGTGCGTCTGTGTCTGCTCTTGCGGCTGCGGGTCTTGAGGGTCAGTCAAATCTGGCATTTGTGACCTCAGCTCTTATGATAATAGAACGACTTTGGGCCGGGCGCAGTGACTCGCCTGTAATCCCAGCACTTTTGGAGGCTGAGGTGGGCAGATCACTTGAGGCCAGGAGTTCAAGATCAGCCTGGCAGCATGGTGAACCCCATCTCTACTAAAAATACAAAATTAAGCCGGGTGTGGTGGTGTGTGCCTGTGATCCTGGCTACTTGGGATGCTGAGGCAGAGAATCGCTTGAACCCAGCAAGCAGAGGGATTGCAGACTGCACTCCAGCCTGGGCGACACAGTGAGATTCCGTCTCAAAAACAAACAAAATAATAGAATGACAGTGGTGCCAGCCCACTCCTCCAAAGCCATGCCTGGATCCAGCCTTGTATCACCACCCTGGAAGGCAACCTAGAGGGCCTGATGTCAGACACAGTGTCTTCAGAAGCCTCTCCCCTTCCAGAAATAACCCTGCCATGCTTTCTACCTTGTCATCAGCAATCCCCTGTCCTGGGGCTCTCTGATGACCTCCTTGTGGAAGAGGCCACATGGTGGAGTGGCTGAAGGTCAGGGGCCAGCCCTGCTGCTCCCCAGCTGTGTGGCATCAGGCTAGATGCTACACCTCTCTGAGTCCTGGTTTTCTCAATAAAACAGAGGTGATGCCACCTACCTCAAAGGCACTGCTTACTCAAGAAGTATTTGGCCGGGCGCAGTGGCTCACGCCTGTACTCCCAGCTCTTTGGGAGGCTGAGGTGGACAGATCACAAGGTCAGGAGTTCAAGATCAGCCTGACCAACATAGTGAAACCCCGTCTCTATTTAAAAAAAAAAAAAAAAAGAAGAAGTATTTAGTGAGGCCCTACTATGTACTCAGCCAGGGCTCAGGAGACAAAGGCATTTAGGTAAATTGTTTGGGGGGGAGTTTCCATGAGTTCTTTTTTTTCTTTTTTTTTGAGACAGAGTCTCACTCTGCCACCCAGGCTGGAGTGCAGTGGTATAATCTTAGTTCACTGCAACCTCTGCCTCCTGGATTCAAGCAGTTCTCCTGCCTCAGCCTCCCCAGTAGCTGGGATTACAGGCATGCACCACCACGCCCTGCTAATTTTTGTATTTTTAGTATAGATGTGGTTTCACCATGTTGGCCAGGCTGGTCTCGACCTCCTGACCTTGTGATCTGCCCACCTTGGCCTCCCAAAGTGCTGGGAGCCACTGCGCTGGGCCTCTATGAGTTCTTTTTAAGGAAATTAGCACAGTGCCGGGGACTCAGTAGACGCATATGATGCAAACCTTTCATTTTCACTGTTCTCTGTTCCTCCTTCACAAATTCCTCTTTCAATGCCGATCCGCCCCCATTCCCGGAGTGAGCTGCCTCAGACACATTCTGTCCCCAGAATTCTAACTCCAGACTGCACTCTCCCCTGAGATTCAATCCACATAGTCATTCAGTAAACATGAGCCGGGTGTGGTGGCTCAGGCCTGTAATCCCAGCACTTTGGGAGGCTGAGGGGGGAGGATCACCTGAGGCCCAGAGTTTGAGACCAGCCTGGGCAACATAGCGACACTCCGTCTCTACTAAAAAATGAAAACAAACAAGTATTTATCCAGCCCCATTATGCGCCAAGCACTGTTGAACAAAGCAAACACAAAAATGAACAAAATAAACACAAATCTTGCACCCAAGAGACTTACACAGGTGCTCCTGGAATCACGATGGAGCTGTGGCCGGATGAACCCATCCTGAGTTAAAAGTGCTCTTAATACCCCCAGGAAACCCACCAAAAAGTCAAAGAATCCCAAGTCAAACCATTCAGTCCAGATGCTCCTCAGCTTACAATGGGGTTATGTCCTGATACATTCTAAATTGACCCATGTGAGTGGGGGACCATCTGGATAAATGTCCGCATTTCCAACTGCTGGGTGGCTCACACCTCCCTACCCCTTACCTATCTCACAGGTTCCTCGAGCTCAACCGAAATGTTTCAAAAACAGTCCTGCACTCCCTCAAAAATTAAATTTGACCCAGCAATTCCATGCCTAGGGTAAGGTGGCACATGTCTGTAGTCCCAGTTCTTTGGGAGGCCAAGGTGGGCAGATTACTGGAGGTCAGGAATTTGAGACCAGCCTGGCCAACATGAAGAAACCCTGTCTCTACTAAAAATAC